CTTTTCTTTTAAAAATACTTCATGCGTGTACCGTATTATCACTGAAAAAAAATTCTCGGCGTTTTTACCAAGGTCCGTTGGTACTTTTACCATCTCACTTTTTTTACCAATAATTGGAAGTTTACCAAAACAGACTGGTGAGCTTACCGAAAAACCGGTATTTTTACTGTTTTTTTCAGGTAAGAATACCACTTTTATTGGTAATCAATTCCTAGTAACTTTGCCATTTTATCTCAGTAATTCTACCACAGTCGATAAAAAATATTGGCGTTTTTACCAAGGTCCAGTAAAATCACCGAGAAAGTTTAATAATTTTACCAAGATTTCTCGGTAAAATTACCAATTCCATAAATGGTAATTTTACCAAGAAAAAACTGGGATCAAATAGAACCCTGAATTCTTGGTAAGTTTATACAATTAATTTCCTTTCAAATTAACAATTTTTTGGTGGAAAGCCAAAACTATTTGCTATCCGGGAAATTTTGTAGATAATTATTATGAAGTAGCAACGTTTATACATCACTGTAATTGCGCTGGTTCCTTTTTGCCAAATACGATCCGATTGACCCGACCCAATGTGCGCCGATATGATTCCACGCTGGGCATGAGCAAGGGTCCGTTCGCGGATGCAACAGCTGTCAGTGCCATTTCCATCCCCAACCCTCGATAACTCTTAGCGCGTTTCGTCGACCCTTAGTGCTTATCCCTTATCTCGGTAGTCAAGGTGTTATCTCCAAGCTTTTGAATGAGTGTTCGTCGTTGAAAGTCCGTAGCGAGGAATTTTAATCGACTAAAACAACAAGACCTCTAGGTATGCCGTCATGTCATCGCACAAGATGCTCGACTTTTTTTTCGTTTTTCTTATCTTACGCTGCGAAAAGGGCAGAGGGGATATTGTTACCATCTTGCACTACTTAATTGTCACACTACTAATCACAATTTTTGAGTCGAAGTTATACTTTCGAGGAATATTGCCTAAATAATGCCTGAAAATATTGACCGCGGCAAAGGGTTTGAAATTCCACGTGACATGTTTCATGAAATTTTAGAAAAATATGAAAGACATTGAAAAATATTTTTCAAAATAAATACAAAATTAAATGAAAGGCAGATGGTGTCTTTTTTTTAATCAGGGGTTTAGCCCCCTATATGTATTTGCTACAATTTTACTTTAGAGATGGAATGCTCTATATTTGAGGAATATTATCTCAATATTGCACCTTGAAAAGATCTTCAGCAGCCCCAGCCAATGTGAATTGAATAACTCAACAGTACTGCCGCAATCATCGATTCGATATTGCTCGGCAATATTATCAAGAACAAGTTTTGCAGTTTCGCAGGAATATATTCTCATATGTTACGAGGAAGTTTGGAAAAAAACCTCTTGAGAAAACATATTGAATCACTTTTTGCTTCAATTTAGCTAAGATTGACTGGTCAAATTCTTACTAAAGGTTCTGGGTGCAACAAAACCTCAACATTTTAATCAATCGATGAAGGTTTGGGTATTTATCATGTCCTCGATTCGCGCCTAAGAATTTTTAGAATTTTGGAATAGCGAAAGCTCTCCACTGTGCTCGATGGTGCAGGCATAGTCGAGCAAACATAGTGTTTTAGAAAGCACTATCTAGAGAACTAGAGACTTCTCATGGACAATGCGCGCCTTCAAATGGACAGGTATACTTCATGGGCTCCTCCGTGTCGAAATAGTGGTATCCTGTCGCTCGTGCGGCGCTTCGTGCAGCCTCCGGTGTGTTCTCGTGGTATAATACGCAACGCACTAGCCTCGATCCTTGAAACTGGCATATTTGCGGTGGTTGTTGCTTAGCAACGGGATATCTCGAGCGGGTTGTGCGTGACGGAATGAGTCGGGGGTGTTTTCCGTCGTCAGGGTGCTTGTTGGATCGAAACCAGTCAACGAACGTATCAGGAAATGACTCCAGCTTAATCTATGAACATTTCCAATCGACGTTTTATCCTTTATTTTTCGACTTCTGTTGCATAAAACGGAAGTTGGTCGTTGTTCGAGGTTGATTGAGTCAGGAAAATCCGGAAGACTCGTGGGAAGTCGGATAACAACGAAAATAAGCCGAGAATGTCAAGGGGGAAAAAATTCTCACTGTGGTCAGAAAATCGTTTAAATTTCGAGTGTCGGAGGCCGAATTGGACCAGCTGTTGCGTTGGTTTCGTAGCTTGAATTTTATATTTCTGAAATGTTGGATCATTTTGGAAAGTTTTCAGGGAAATTCGGGGTATTTTGACGAATTTTCAGGGACGATCAGGGTATTTCGGCCTTTATGCAGTCATGAATTTTTCCGGTCAAGCCGAGACAAATGAAAAAAAGTAAGGAAACTTTGTTGGACGTTTTGTTATAGTCAAGTTATTAATTTTTCTCTCTTTTTCCTCCGGGCAACCGCAAAAAAAAAGGAAATTGCCAAAAAATTTTGCCAGCATTCTAGGATTCTATCGGTGAGGGTAAAGAATATCAGGGAAATTCCAACTTAGACTAAACTGTTAACCCGAAATATAGATGGTGATTGTACCAAACCAAACCACTTATCTTGGTTTGCAACGTTGTAAATCTCGTGCCACATTACTTTTTTTTAATTACTTTTTTAAAGGCGCGATCGTTGTTTTTTCAAAAAATGTCGTCCGATTTTTTTCTTCGTTCTTTCAAAAATATCCCCAGAAAATTCGAGCAGTTTTCTTTTGAAAAAGTAAAATATGAGCGGAAATTTTAAAACATAGCAATCAAGATCCGTGTATTCGTAGTTTCACCATGTATGCATTATTGTCAACAAGTGAATATCGATGGTAAAACTCCCAAAACCACGCATCTGGGTTTGTGACGTTGAAGACCTCCTGTCATACTTCATTTTTTAAATGGAAATTCACCCAACATTAATTGAGGGGCTTGGAGGACAAGGTGCATAAGTGCAGCTTTTCCTATTTCGAGAAATACGTGTTAGAAGTTTCGAAATTGCACGAATCCTTATGGCGAAAAGAAAGTTCAAACCGACTTTTTGATGCTTATACATTGGAATTTGACAGCGAATATTTTTCACTGAATTGAATTAAGACTAGTTTTACTTGAAATCATTAGTATCTCAATGTTTTCAAAAACTGCACTTATGCGCCTCGTCCTCAGAGCCCCTCAATTCTTTCAAACTTTCGTGGTTTTTCTTCAGTATGTGAAGAAAATTCTGTGAAAACTGCCCGGAATGGTGTTGATTTGTTCTCCTTCAAAAAAATTAAGCTGGAGATTTTAAAATGCTGCGAAAGAGATGCGTGCTTTTGGATTTTCGCCGTCGATATTCAGTAAGCTGACAAACGTTGCATGTTTGAAGCGGTTTCTGAAAATTACACATTCCACCCTGTTCCTCCTGAAAGGCAATTTTCAATAATGCCAACGACCTTTTACCATCCATCGAAAACTGCACCGCATTTTGTCAGTAAGGCAAGAAAGCCACCCGTCTTACATATCCAAGGCTTCACCAATTGGATGAGACAGCGGATTAGAAAACTGCGCTTTTCCCACATCGGACGATATGTTCACTTGACATAAAAATCGCCGTCGTTAATCGCTTTGCAAAGTTTGCGAATGAGGTTGCCAAATTTTCTTCGTTTCATTTGGATAATGTTCGCACGAGCTTCCCGTTTCACGATTTTAGGCATCCTTCCTTTGCCTCAAAATGCGCTTAAAATTCAGGTTTTGACACGGTGGATTTTTAAATTTTGAATATGAAGGTCGAAAACCAAGTTTCCCGTCAAAAAAAGACCTCGGCCTCAAGTCTCTCAAAAGTCGCTCGCGCAGGAGCCGTATATCGAAGGATCGGTAAAACTCTATTCAGTGTGGCAAACGATACCGATCCCTTACCCTTTACATACCTTAGTGCGCCTTCCTTTTCGTCTGATACCGCGCAATACGTCTGTGGCGGAATAGTTGCTCAGAGCGCCTTCAAAAGTATTGCTTCGACCTGATTACCGCTGAAATCACACCATAGTGCGTTGAGTATGGGGGGCGACGTTTTGGGCGAGTGCTACTGAAAAGAGGGCGTTTAGGGCGGGGAGATGGGTGTCTTTTGGGCGGGGATGAAAACGGATGTTTTGGGCGATTAATTAATTAATGTAAAACAAAAAGCAACACTGTAATGTGAACTCACCAGTCGCCGGTTGAAACGGAGATTTTGAAGACATTTTGGCGAGTACGATGAATTTTTGGGTTTGGTTGACAGGAAGTTCTCAAACACGGCTTTTGACTCAAGAAACCGAATTTGGGAGCTTCCCTCCCCCCCAAACCCTGATTAATAACATGAATTGCTTCCAAAATGTAGCCGAGGAATTTGTCACTCATTTCAAATCTAAGTACTGTATCAATAAATATTGGGAAAACTCCTATCTGACCCCTTAAACATTCAAATCAATTGAAATTGTCAGTTAAGTTAATTTCACTTTTTCCCACCTTTTTTCTCTTTCTTCCCTTGATAAAGATACCCCATTTCTTTTAGGTATTTCAAACGGTCGGTGTGAATAGTAAGGTGACAAGATAGTTGAAAATAACACTGCCCGAGAATGACAGCGTTGCCACATTTTCTGACTTCGCCCAGCATGTCCAAAATACCGCCGTTTTTTCCAGCCCCTCTCCTCGCCTAAAAGAGACCCAAATTTTGGATGAGTTTTATTGCCTCTCGCCCAAAACATACTTCCCCGTTGAGTATATGTAACCAGCTTCTCATTACCAACAGTGACTGTGAAAATATATTCATATCTCAGTTTGCGACGTTGCAAGTTTTTCACTGCCTGCCTATTTTTTGGGGGTAAATCAAAAAGACACGTTCAAATCTGCCGTGATTTTTAATTAAATAGTAGAAACATATTAATAATAAAATAGTAGACAAATATTAATAATAAAATAGTAATAGTAATAAAATAAAAATAAAATCTCTTGTAAAAGCGACTCTCGATTGGTAATAAAGGAAGTGCATTCTTTTTTTGTGCAGGTGGAGGCACCGGCGGTCAGCAAGGAACATCAATGAGCCTCGAGGACTTACGCGGTTTTCGGATCTTACTGACTTGCGCCCAAGTAGTCGGTGGGATCCTTGTACTTCTAGTAGCAATATGGACAATAAGTTACAGAGGCGGTTTTGCTTGGCGCAGCAATCCTGGGCTCGAGTTCAACTGGCATCCGCTGCTTATGACAATAGGAATGATATATCTTTATGGAAATGGTTTGTAATTTTTCTCAATCTTTGTCATTAACGATTTATCAAAAAAAGGAGCGTGTTTGATTTTTACCGTAATAATTGAACCGCGTCAAACAGAAAGAGACCAAGCCACATCAGCTTTTGCCAAATTTAATCAGACAATTTAATATTTTACTTGAAAACGGCTGCGCGGATTTTTGTGCAAATTTCAGTGAATTTTCTGCATAGTATGAAGCAAATTCCTTAAAATTCTCAAAAGTATCCGCACAAACGTTCTCCTGTAAAAAATAAATTGCCCAGTTAAATGTGGCAATGGCTGATGTGGCTTGGTTCCTTTCTGCTAAACGCAGTCCAATTTGGAATGCATTTTCTTTAAAATCAACAATTTTTAATGGAAAAGCAAAAACTATTGCTATTGCTATTTGACTATTTGCGACCATGGACATTTTTTTAGATTAAGATGAAGAGGCATGATTCTGAAAACATTGCATTTGCGCTGATTCTCTTTTGTCAAATGCAGTCCATTTAATTTGCAATTTTGAAAGCACTAAATCATTTCCTATGATTTGTCATGAATACCTTTCAGACTTTAAACTATTTTAAGAGGTAAAAAAGGGACAATGATATTTGGGACAAAGATCAAAAGAAAAACAGAAGGAAAATTTACCATTTATGTACCTATTTATTACTCTGCTGTGCTGAGAAAAAATGCCGAATAAGCTTACAGACGATGCCAAATTTCTTATGACCGAACTCGAATTTTTGGGAAAATTAGCAAGTATTTTTATTTCGATTTTTGGAGAATTTTGTTCGTAATTTGATCCAAAGTGACTAAAAGTTTTCAGGAAAAATATTTATAACTTTCTCAAAAAATGAATATTTTAAGAGAGGAAATTTGGCACCATCGATCGCTCATACAACGTTTTTTCATAGTGAGGCAGTATTGCAAGCCTCTCCACTTTATGTCTTCCTGCTCACTTTATTATTGTAATCACTGAATCAATTGCTTTTTTGATTATTATTTTTCAGGTATCCTGATGTATAGAACTTTGAGGAACATGAGGAAACGCAGTCTGAAAATAACTCATGCAAGTGTCCTGTTTGCCGCCTTTGCACTATCATCCATAGGAATAATCGCTGCTTTCGATTCGCACAATCTTGCCGATCCACCGAAACCAAATCTGTATACGCTTCACAGCTGGTTTGGTATTATTACCTTCACTGGTTTCACCTTACAGGTGCGTGAAATTAAATTATTTTAAGAAGCAATATTCTCTGTTGCTAAATATGAATCCAGGAATGCACTAAAAACTGTCATTGTAAGTACTTATGAATCGCAGACAGAGTGCATCCTATTGTCAAAATTTGCAAAACGAGTATCTTGATATGCAAAGTTGCTTGTTTCTCATGACTTTTCTTTTTTCAAAGGAAACTTTTGATGAGCATCATTTTTTGGAACTTTTCTTGATTTTTTCTTTATTCTGTGAAAATTTTTGATGAGCATCATTTTTTGAAATTTTTCCATATTTTTTTCATATTCTGTAAAAATTTTTAATGACGACATTCACAAGATTTTCATTTTTTTTGAAAAAAACCCTTCAACAGCAGCATCAATTTTGAGCCATCACAATCAAGGTACTCACGTGTTTTGTGACTTTTACCACTGATATGGAGTCAAGAGAGGTCTGAATACCATGTACCCACGGATGCAGAAGAAAAAAAAACAGGGCTTCTGGCGGTCTGAAAAACCTCAGGGAATTCACAGCGACCTATAAAAGTCAAGGAATTCCTGAGAAAAGCCACAGAATTTTGCGGAGATATTTTCACGAGATACGTAGAATGTTACTTTCTGAATGACCCTTACATATGAAAAAAGGCAAAATAATCGGTGTTTAAACTGGCAAATACTTACATAACATTAATGTTCAGCATGTTCCATTTTTTCTCAATTTTGTTCCCTCAAAGAAGCCCCAGCCCCTCCAGCATCGATGTTTATATCTTTCTTTTGAATGTTTAATGTTGAATGTTTCAATTTAAAATGTGTAAAATTTTTGTTTCAGTGGGTTGGAGGTTTAGTAACGTTTCTGTATCCTGGATTAGCCTCTCATATACGTGCTGCTGCTCTGCCAGTTCACATGTATTTTGGTCTTGTCCTCTTCATTATGGCGTGCACCAGCGCTGTCCTTGGGTTAGCAGAAAAAGCGATTTGGACCTTGTAAGTTATTACAAGTTTACATTTGCCACTACTTTTTATTCCTACTTTTTATTGTTTTCACATTTTTTCCAAATAGTCAATTACTTTTTTTGGAAAAAAAAAGTTTGTGAGAGAGCAAGGTTGGAAGAAGAGAATCTTGGAAGTTCAAATTATTGATCACGTTATACTGAACATAAAGTTGCACAAATTTACCACTTGAAAAAACACAACATTGAAAAAAACCGGATGGACTTAAAATATGCCAAGGAATTATGAGCGTAACACAGGGAGTCAAAAATATTGGACAAGTTGAAAAAGATGCGACTTGAAGTCTGTCGGTCAAAAGATGGTAAAAGACCTCCAGCAGAGGTTAGTGTCTGCACATCATCGGTCTTTTTATGAGGCGTAGAGTTCCTTCTGGACCATTCAGCTTGGTTTTCTCCAATCTTTCAGTCAAGTAATCATCCATCATCACTAAGGTTTAAATAAGAGATTAAAGGAATGAATGAACTGAAAGAGGCTTTTTTTAAGGGGTGGCAAACTGATTTCGGCCCAGGACAGTAAACTCAAATTATTTCTGACAATAGCTATTATATTTTCATTTGCTAATATTGCAGTGATCGAAGGAAAATAAGGGTTTCAAAATTGTTTAAAACTAGGTAGATAAAACTTGAATGAAGAAGCTTATACATAGAGGAAAATATTCAAAATATCCCCCTCAAAATAAATAGCTCAGCTGATGTGAATGTAAATAGGTAAAATTGAATTTTCCTTAATCTTCAATAAATATGATTAAAATTTTCTTGTTTGTTACAGAGGAGCTCAGTATGCATCTTACGTAAATGAAGGTCTTCTAATGAATCAGATTGGATTACTCATTTTCCTGTTTGCTTTTATTGTGATATACCTTGTGACTCATCTTCCCTACAAAAGGCAGCCCAGGCCTGAAGATGAAAATTTGCTGACGGGTTTGTCAGATTAAATGTGCGCACAAGTTAGCTCTGTCAAGCAGAATCTCACTTAAAGGTGCTACAATTCAACGTTGTGTGCTATTGAACTACCTACCTGTAACCTTTACTTTCAACGTTGTATGTACATTCACTGTTCAAATGTCCATGTTGTACCTGGTCAGTCTGAGTTTTCCTCTATCTTTCTCTTATTTTATTTTCTCTCTTTTCTTATTTTTTTTATTCTTTATTTTATTTTCAAAAGCATCCAGTATGTTTTAATGAAAGGCTTAAATGTTAACAGGAGGATACTTTATTTATTATGTTTTGTAAATCTGTAATTTTTACACCCAAGGTTTCGTATGCTGAAAAAACTTATCATTTCAAGTTCCTGTCATTCAGTTTCATCTCTCTGACGATTTCAATCAGTCATCTACTGAACGGAATTTGTCCCAAAATGTTCACATGCTCATCAATCAGTAATCTACTCTTAAAATTTAGCTCTAAAAATTTAGCAAATTGAAATTTAAAGTATGATTCTACAACTTTGTATGTTTTGAAACTCGGGACTTAAAAATTATAGAATTATCATTTTCATTGAATCAGTATTGCTATCCATTTGTTACAGTGTAAGAAACTTTCCTCTCTTATGTACGAAATCATTCATTCTATTTCAGACCTGAGCCTTGACATTACCATTAAAGTGTATCATGCTCTGAAGTTATTGGAAGGTTTCAGTCTATCATGTCATTTTTGTTTCAATGCATTGTTCCTTGCTCTTCTTTTCTACATTTTCTGTGATAGCTTATATATTTTTCGAAAGGAATAGACCACAAGACTGAGAAAGAATTAGACCTTTGATTGGCACATTTCCTCATCAAAATCTCCTGCCAAAGACCTGAAACTTACCTTCATAATGAAAACTTGAATCGCCCTTGGATTAATCTACTTCGCTCAGTGAGAATATTTTTTTTGATTTCCTTCAATCCATGTAGTGCCCAACTATGATCATAGAATGCACGGTAGCTGATGATTTTTAGCAACCTCTAAAAAATTACCCTTATAAAAACCATAGGTAAGATTTCTCAAGTCGGTCAGTTTTTATCTAACCATGAATTGAATTCCTAGAATAATTTAAATAAAAGACATTTTCAGGGTGAAGACTGTTGGTAAAGGTGGATATAGACGTGAGTGTGGTTGTATTTAGGTATTTTGCCACTACCACTTTGAATAGTTAAGCTGGTATTGCTGTGAAGCAGTTTATTTGCGGCGTGTTCACACCAAATTTTCATTTTGTAAATACTTAGTTCTTACTTTAAAGAAAGAGACAGAAATAATAATTTTTTTTGGAACATTGATATTTTTTCATTAGGTAGTGTTCTATAGTAAAAGATGAAAATTAAATGTGGTATGAAAAACTCCAGCGGGCCGATTATTGGCCATCTCAAGATAATTAGGCAACTAAGCCACTTTTCCTCTCTCTTTTTTCCACAGTCATCATTATAAAACACAGGTCATCGTGAATTATTTTCCTTGCACAGGATCAATAAATCTTGCTCTGTCATATGGTTTGCCAAAGATTTTGAAGGTGAAACAAATGTGGGACCCTTTTTTGTAATCGCATCTCTGTTGTGAAAATCAATTTCTTGTTAAAACAGGAAGGGTCCCTCACTCCTGTAAATTTAACTTACCAAACAACTTATGTCTTTACTTTAAATGAATGAATGTCAGAAAGATTCACCGCAGATCCATGAATAAAAGAAAAATAAAACTTTCAATTTTATTCGTTTAATTTTTGTTCTATTATTTTTCCTCTATGGACCATTTTTTTAAAAATTTGTCTTACTTTTGTCTGATGCATCCCACAATTTTTGCCTAAAGTTGCTGAGTCAATCATCCTTGGAGAGGAAGAGACTCGGAGATGAAAACCCTATGCATTTGATATTTTTACGTAGGATTTAAGTCGCATGATCTAGCTTGACACATGTTCAAATTCAGGAGTTCGATTGCAAGGGTGTTACAGTTGCCTAGTAGGCTGATCACAAACTTTTTTCATCATAAACCCAAGGTATATTAACCAGGCTTAGCCGGCAAAAGACACCTCTTATTAAAGACTCTGGCATTCTTCTCAATAAAGCACTTGTTCTTTATAATCATCTGATATAGTAGAGGAAAGTATATAGTTGGTACCTTACCGATCTATCAACGATACTAAAAGGTGCTTTATAGATATTTTTTAAGAAAAGAAAAACCCTCATCTAATACTTGATTAAAAACACCAATTTCCTAATTTGTTGATTTAAATAATTTCTTCATTGCTTTTTACTCCATTTTGATAAAGACTAAAAGCAAGATTCAAAAGTAGGATTTCAAATGAAAATTGAATCTAAGTCCTGTTGGTTCTTTTAAGACATTCAAACTTGAAGTAATGAAAGAAACTTGAGTTATCACATTTCAGTTTTTACATTTCTTCCCTGTTTCTTTTTAAAATATTTAGCGAAAACAAAATGGTCACGCTCAGAGTCGCCTATTCCTGACTGCAAATTATTTTTCTCTTTGAAAACCCTAAATAAAAGCTGAATGTATCTGCATGCGAAATATTGCATATCAATGGCTTAATGGAAAAAATGCGCATCTCCGATGGAACGTTAAGAAATCTCTGATAATGTTTACTTCTTTTCTTATCATTGTTTCCATGCAATTTGGTGTGATTATTTTAGAATAGGTAAAGTACAAAATCATACATTTTTTTAGAAACAGTCATCAGTTTTTCTTTAAAAAATAAAACATGAGAGGGGACCGATGAAGTCACAATCTAAGGTGCGCAATTTTCGATTTTAGCTCTTGATATGGTGAATTTTTGAAAAATACTTTCCCCTTAAATTTTGGGTTTGTACAATACAGTAAGTTAATTTTTGCTCCATTTTCATCTAAAAAATTGAAGTAAAACCAGTGGTCCAGCAATAGTTGCTCAGTATATATTAGTTTGTTCACTTTTGCTGTAGATTCGCTCCAAAAATGAAATAAAGCATTGTTATGAAGTATGCATACACTACTTAAGTTTCAGTCAGAAATAAAATTGAAGATTTAATGCATACTTAATACAATTTCAGCCAATGACAGATCAGTTTTCTGACATGTTTGCGAAGTTACAGATTATTGATCACCTGTGATTCCATGCGTACAAAGTCAATGAAAAAATCGGAAAAGTCGAACTTACATTATCTTAGAAAGTCAGCAAATTAGATTGACATTAGAGACATTACGGAGCTATATGTTTACGTCATTATATTATGCTGATTTTTATCAACTGTGTGTCTATTTGGGCTTTAATTAAAAATCGTCAAGTCTTTAAAAAAATGAAGAAAAATTATTGGGAGCGTTTTTTAGCGCATTTGCACAATGCAATGCCACGGGCTACCCGACACGAGCGCGTCAATTTGAATTAACCCGCCAATTTTATGCTTCTATTCCTAGCCACAGCGTTGTAATCGCTTCACAATCCACGTGTAAAGTATTCCACTGTGGTGGCTCCATCTATCGAGAAGTTTGGAGATTTATCTCTTGTCTCCTTCGCTCCTCTCTATACTTTTCTCTCCCTTGTTACGGAATTTTTCAATCTCGTTGCGTTGTTTACTCTACTATTTAACATAATTGTGAAATATTTTTTATTACTGCGCATACCTAATTCATTTTTTATCATTATATCATTGTATATTTTAATTAATACATTAATGTAACAAAAGTTTTCCTCGTTCAAGTTTTTTCTTTTAGTTCGTAAAGTGTGCAGTAAGTACAACCGATTGAGGTTAGTTTAGATCCAGTGGAAGCCTTATGGATTTTTGCTATTAGATAACAAACCTAAAAAAGAAACTCATACTGTCAGTTGCAGCAGTGTCCTGGAAACGTTGCTCCTTGTTTCACTATTTTATTTTTAGTATATTCTTCATTTTTAATTTTTCGTCACTGCTGTTTTCTCTACTAACGGTTTCCCCTAAAGGTTCCCGGATTTCGCTCAGGGTTTAATGAACTTATCCTTCAAAAGATGGATTTAAATTCTTCAACGCTGTGTGCAGATAGTTTAGAGGTAGCTGTTTCACAGTTTTATCATGCTGATACCACTGTTCAAGCTCAAGCTCACGAATGGCTCATCCAAGCATCTTCAGGATCATGGGACGTTGTATGGGAGCTGCTTCAACCGCAAAGGGTATGTTCAGTCATTTATCTAGTTTCGCTGAGAGTTGCCATTTATCAAGTTAGATCAGTATGACGTCTTATCAGTAATGATGGCAATTGCCCAGAATATGGCCCAATTCTTATCAGCATCATTGGTTCGAAGTAAGAATGTGGCCTTCTGTAGTCATATAAAAAGGACAGAAGGTAAAGCAACGAAGGGCCCAGCAATCTCTATAGTATAGTAGCCTGGTTTTTTTTTTTGCATTCTTTATCTCTTCTATTATAAGATGGCTTTTTAGCGAAAGCTCTATTCAACCTATAGGAGAGAGGTCAGCCAGTGTCACCTTTCTCTTGATTGTAAAATCGGCCTGTTTGCTACCTATAACTACTTTTCATCGAATCAATAATTAAACCTATTATTACCCACAACTCTCCTCATCCTTTCAGGCTTGTTTTATGTGTTTCTCTATAATTTTAAGATCAGAAGTAAGAGACAGGTCAGGCGCTGCGAGGTGAGATGAAAATCAGTCTCTAATTAGTTTCAAATTAGCACCATCTAACAGGGTTATACAGGTGAGTTGTTGTATTAAACAGTTTGGGAACGTTAGGAAACAGGAGGGCGATATGCCAAGCAGTTGGCGTCATCAGTCCACGTTTGAATCACCTGATGACTTGCAAGTTCACACATGAATATCCTATATTGCTACTGAACGCTGAAGGATCTTGTGAGGTTAAGTTGTGTTTTGTAAACAGAAGAGCCAAACGGTATGAGATTAGTTTACTGTGTCAATGCTCCTTATATTTTTCCACAAAACTTGTCATTAGAGAAAATAGTTTTGAAATAGGACTCTCTGATACCTGATGGTGCGCGTTTTTTGATTTTGTATAGAGAGATCGCATAACCAGCAGGTTCACATATGAATATCCAGGATTTTCATTCAGCATTTCCAACACATCCAGTTAACATTGAATTTGTTGAATGATGTTGGCTCACGTTGTTCATTTCTTTTAAATTTTAAATTAAGTATACAACCTTTCATCAAATACTATACTTTTAATTCCTTGCATACCTTAATTTTTTGAGTAACTTTATCACTTTTTTAACTTTTTTCAGTCGATGGAAGCTCAGTTCTTTGCAGCAACAACTGTACATACCCAGTTGAAGAAACATTGGGTTCCTAATTCACTTGAATCTGTCACTCTAATAAAGAATAAACTCTTAGAAGCCATCCTACGCTATGCCTCAGGACCCAAAGTCATACTGAACAGACTGTGTCTATCTGTAAGTGCTACATTTTACTCTCACTAGAAATTTTTCCCTTATGCCAAGTACCTTAGTAATACATATATCTCCTTCATTTGCCATCATGTTTGTGAATTATGCTATACATTCAGTCACAAGACTTAATTTGGCTCGCAAAAACACATGAGCTTTATTTTAATCTGGACAAAATTTAGTCTAAGTGTATATTATCTCAGGATGGATTTGTCAGAAATCAGTCCAAATCTTACATTTCAAGTCTTCAGAATCATAATTTTCTATTTAAGTATGATGAACTGAAGTGCCCCATAGAATAGTAAAATTCCAATGTCATTTGTAGTTTTTTTCATTTTGCATTCCACCGTAGCTAATGACTTGATAATCACGGACCTAAAAAATCATCAGGAGTTCAAAATTGGACCAAAGGTTAAATTTTGCAGTTAACTGAGGAGGGGTAACTCAGTCAGTAATCCAAAATTTACAGAATAATTAAAAATTATTCAACATTTCAAAAAATCAATTGCTGAGAGTAAATAAAGAAAAAAAAAGGCAAGTGAAAGGATGCACTACAATCAGTTCCTCTTGTAATTTCACGAAATATGTCGGCATGATATTTATCTGTTTGAAACTGGGATGAACTTTTGGCGAATTTGAAAGTCTTTTTCTTTGTTAAACTTGGATTTAATGTGAATTGCAGAAATTCAGGCTTTCTTTTTTAAGCCTTTTTTAAAAATTAATTGAAAATATTGCACAACAGCATATATTAGTTTTTGTGAATATCGATTATTTTAAATCACTGGTTCATATTTCATCATCATCTTTTATATTTCAGCTTGCGTGTTTCATTCTCCGAACAATTCCTACAGCTCACCCCTGTGACATGACAGAACTATTTTCCTCCTTCTTATCTCAGTCAGCCCAGTCCACATGGATATTACTGGAGGTTTTGAAAGATCTTCCAGAAGAGGTAGTTTTATTATTATTATTATTTTATCTCTCCTAACAAAAATGAAAAGGGAAAAAAAGGATGGAAAGAAAACTATCATCGAAATTAAAACTTTATACACTTTTTTAAAATGAAATCAGGTCTAGTATCAAGGGAGATTGCAGTGGATCTGCCTCTGAAAGTACACTGAAAGCTGTAACATGAGGTATGATCAGAAATCATCACAGAAAACGTAATCCTCAATCCCCTTTTAAAACCATTCATTTCTGAGGTACATGACAGTTTGGTAGGAAAGATACAAGCAAAAAACTGCAATAGAGCAGGCCCTACATTATGCTTGCATTTTCAACGAATGGAACTTTTGCATGCCCCAGGGATTTGCAATTTAAGTACATTTTCTTCTGTAAGATTTTGCGAAATGGTGCGACTGGTTATCTTGGAAACAAACTTCCAAGCTCAAAAAAAGCTACCAAAGTCAAGGCGTAAAGTGAAGGGATTGCCTATGTCAGCAATCCTTAATCTGCAGGCTGCAGAACCTGTGGGAAGGGGGGGGGGGCTGCGAAAGGCACGAAGAAGAGCCTCGAGGTGGAAGTATAGTAGGTTACTGAAGTATAGAGCGTATTCAAGTTATGATGAAGTGTTCACAAATCTCCTGCTCTGATTTATGTAAGTTACTTGAACTTCACTTGAGTTTTAAATCTTTTTTTCTTTGACAGGTACATTCAATGGAACTTTCCAAGACATCATCATTAGCGGTTGTCATTAACTTTGAAAAAAATCTACCTTCAGGTAAAATTCATTCTCAATTATTTACATAAGCACATAGAATTCATGTTTGTTTTAGATGAAAAAATAAAAAAGGATAGAAATCATAGTCTTCTAAAGATTTTTATCGAAGAAAATTTAGATAAACAACATAGACCCTCTCTTATAATGCCTTTTATTTAATCTTTTTTGTGGATTTCGTCGGATAGCAACGTAGCAACTTTTTGATTGAATGTCTCTTCTTTTCTTTTTATTATTCTCACCACCCTCAAAATTATCTTATCTCTATCTCAAATTAAGGAAGAAAAGGTTTCAGAAGCTTTCATTCTTACCTTCGCAAAGCATACAAAGTGTGAGTTATCGGCACTCCTAAATGTAAGTTTACTGTTGTCTTCTGATAATCTGAAATTCAACTTCTTTTTACGATGATCCAAAAACTTAGGTGGAATTGAGGATTTTGTGTTTTTAGCTTGGTAAATGTTTAGCATAAGTTGTCGTCATTACCTCCTGATACCCCAAGAATTGGGGAACTTGGGGAATCAGGAGGTTATAACGACAATTTATGCTTAACTGGAATCACCATAAAGCATTACATGCCGCCTAATGCTCTCTCATTTTTTGTTATTTTAACAGAGGACTAAATTACTTAACCCCTCATAACTTCTTGTAAATTTAAGTAGATACCTAGGATTATGAAGAATGTACTTTAAAATTTCATCTTTTGACATCACTTAATTTTATATTTAAAAAATAAAACATCATAAAAAATTAGGCATATCGTAAGGCTGAAGTCTGTTTCAGTGGTGACACAGACAAGTCAAGGTCTGACTTCGGTTAATTTTAGTAGCATTCTCTTCAAACGAAAGTGCTTTATTTTCCATTGTTTGTTTTCAGTGATAGCTTTTTTGCGGTCAATCCTGGACCAAAATGCGCCCACTTCTGAGTACTCTGAGCTGAAACTGCAGTGCATTCGATGTGCCTCATCGTGGTTACAGTATGGAATCCCTCTCAATGACTCTGCTTTCCTTGTGGATCACCTTCTTCCTATGTTACTCAATCCTCAGTCAACAGAGTAAGTCATCAGTATTACCTCCCGTCCTCATCACAATAAGTCAGTGACATAACATTTTTGCTGAGTATCTGACAGTTGTTCCCACTGTGAAATCACCTTTAACAAGGTTTATTAGCTTGACATTTTTAACCTGAAGATGGAAATATTTTCAAATTTTGCACTAAAGGTCAGTGGCGAGGCGTCAATGATTGACTATCAATATGTCCCCATTTGAAGCCAGGGGTGTACATAATGTGGAAAAGTCTCAAAAATATGGAAGAAGGAAACATTTTGAGGGACCAAATGTTGAACAACTTTTGTAGTAAAGCCATCAATCATTGTTTGCATGTAACATAGTAAACTAATATTTCAGTAGTGTACAAGTTGAAAAATGTGTAGAACCATTGCAGCGTTTTAAAATCTCAGATTATGTTTCATTTTTTCAAAAAAAAACTAACCATAGTATCACCTTGAATTTTGCTATGAATATTTTAAATGAGTAACAAGAAATGAGTTTAGGGGGGAAAACCCCCCATAAAACTGTCGGTTAGTTTCCTTTTAATCGAATAAAATATGAATGGAGTTTTGCTACGTCACCATCAGAGAAACGCATTTTTCGACGCTAGCCATCAGTTTTTAAAGCATTTACACTTAATACTTTCATAAATTATCCCAATTTGAATGCCTGCAGTAGAGAATTGTTTAAGCTCTGAAAAGTATTCAAGAGTACCTAAAACTTAAAAATTGATCTGTTTGGTGCAGTGATGTTGAGGTTGCTGCAGATGCCTTGAATCAAATGGCTACGCATCCATGCACACATCAATATCCTAACTCTTTGCTTCAGCTGATGGAAAGGCTTCTACCATTATCAGAGTGTGTCATCAAGCAGCAACAAATGCTGAACTCCTCCTCTGATCCAGATATGCAGGTAAGACGCATTTATTACTTGAAGATATTAACAGGAATAAACCAAAGTATTTTCTTTTTTCTTAAACTGATGCAATATTGTTTAAAAATCAATCGCATTTACAATCAATTAATCTGCCATTTTATCTCAGGAGTAGTCAGGACTCCGTGTTGAGGGGAGTAACCACTTATAATAACATTTTTGAAATCAACAGTTTTCAAGTGAGAAGTGACATATTTTCCGAATCTGCAAGAGTTTAACCAATTATAAAAAAATGCTTTTGCAGTTTTCCACAGCGCCAGCTCAGTGGTGCATCTAATAATCAAAACTTCAAAAGCGTTTTTCTCAAAACCACCCTTTCAGCTGTAGGTGGTTATTATAGCAATTGCCTCAACTGTAGACTTATCCTAAAAATAATGGACTTTCACTGTTTTTTTTTTTTTTTCTGGTCAACAATTTTTGTCTCCTGCAAGTAATACAATCTGTCCAAATATCTTAATGAAAGTCGCAAGCCAAACAAAAAATCTTACAAAATGTTAATCAGCGTGTAGTGTTGACTGTTGGCGAGAACCTAGTGCATTTCAAAAAATTTTGGAAGCCTCTTTGAAAACTGTCAAAGCCTAGAATTACTGGTACTCGCAACGTTTTAGTATAACATGATCAGATGCTTTTGTGTACAAATGCAAAATTGGAACAACTCATTTAATAAAAGTTGCAACACCGTTTTAATTTTTCTTAAATTCGTGAATGTGGCTCATACTTTAAATTCATTCTTGGAGAAAATTTTTACATTCACCACCCTACACTTGTCTTATTTCTACTGAATCTTTTGACTCTCTTATAATGATCTAGTTGCCTGTTGTAATTAAGTATTGTCATTCTGTTACAGAATTTTGTCAGTGCTGTGTTTGGTCTGTATGTCGCTATTTGTGAATCACATTCAAGACTTATTTTAAATTCATTGCTTGTACCTGAGACACATCAGTTAGTTCTGACTTATATTCATACGTTACTAGCTTGCAGTAATGCCCCCGGGCAATATCCAACACAGGAACAATATAGTCAGCTGCCTTTTAGTTTTTGGTATATTTTACAGGTAAGTCTTGTTTTTGTATGTACACACTTTTTGTATTTTTTTATGTATTTTTTTTTTTTTTGGGAAAAATTTCATTGAATCCTCTTTTCTGTCGCCTTTTTTCTCCCCATATCCTTTCAAGCATTTCTCAAATTTCAAGAACAAGAAAGCGTAATTTAAACCTTGAAGAGAACTTCTTCTCATTTTATTTAAGGTTATATGTAGGTACCAAATATTTATAGATTAGCAGCTTATAACCATTAATTGGGCGTATACTGAAAAGTGTGTTTTTTTTTTTTCACCAAGCAAAAAGTAATGGTAAAACAGAACATTTTGCTGACTTTTGAAAGCTTCTTGTTCAATGTATATTTTTTACTATTTTCCATCGTGGGAATATTTTCCAAGAGAGAGGAATTTTTAAGGCTGAAATTGTGATTAACTTTTGCTTGAAACCTCCTGAACCCCTGTTTCTTCAGTCTTCTACCACAGTTTATTTCTCATCAACAGGATCCTGTCAAAATCTTGTGTGCTCATAAAGATGTGGTTCTCATGGTTACTGTCTCATCATAATCCTTTTTTAGGCTTGTCTGTGGTATTTCATGAAGAGCAATTACTCATAAATAAGTTTTAAAGCAGGCATATTGCCTAAAGATATCGCATTTAATTTTATGAAGTCAGCACTCCCTTTGCAACAACACCCGATATAACGAAAGTTTTGCTGTAACGAAGGAATCGTCCAGTTGCTTGAGCTTCCTTTGTTACTTGTTGCTGATTGGCACTATGAAAATTTCTCTACATTGAATAATCATATGGTTTTTTGCCTAGGCGTAATATAAAAAAATAATCTATTCTGATGTTCAAAGAGCAAATCTCAAGTCACAGTCTCCCTTATTAGCTTTATTGCGATAGTTTTCTTTTCTCAGTTTTATTGACCACAAATCATTTTAACTCTGTTCAATACAATTTGTTTCAGGATGATCTCCAAAGGAGTGAAGAAGGCCACTTTTATGCTTTACAAGACATTTTGACTCCAATATACAAGAATCTTTCTCAGATATTAATAACGAAAGCTATGTTTCCACCTGAAGGTTATAGTGAATGGACTGCGGCAGATAAGGAAACTTTTCGATGCTATCGACAAGATGTACAAGATACCTTGGTAAGTGTTGACTCTTTTTTTCTCTTTTGAGGACTGCAATGGGCTTATTGCAAACTTTTGCTAGAGCAAAATTAAGAGTCGTTCCCTGAAGAAATTGTCTCAAAAGTCATAATGAGCGCATTCGCAAAGTCTGAAATGTATCCTTAACTTCACAATCTGTGTAAGAAATTTGCGTTTTTTTAAAGATTCCTGCTTCAAAAACGATACTACGGCACAGGTGGACATTTTGTTAGAAGAGTCAATCGATTTAACCCCTACTCACTAGGATGTTTTGCCATATTCAACATGGCCAACGCTTCTGCGCACAAGTCGAGGGGAGCACCAGGTCAATCAAGGCGGATATCTATCAATGCGAAGAAAATGTGAATGTTATCATGCTGATTGTTATCAGGTGGTTAGAATCTTGTCCCATCACTTGTATTTTGACTGATTGGCGTTGGCCAAGTTGATTATTGCGCAGCATCTCTGGAGCAGGGGTTGAGTGGAACAACTTCTTCAACAAAATGTTTCCCCGTGACGTAATATCGTTTTTGAAGTGTAAAGTTTAAAAAAAAAAAAAAAAGTTCTTACGCAGATTGTGAAATAAAATTAAGAGTGAATCTCGGACTTTGCCGATGAGCTTATACTGATTTTTGAGGCATTTTCTACCCGAAATTACTGTTATTTTTGTTCCAGCAAAAGTTTGAAACAGGCCCATTAAGAAGCTCCAAGACATTTACCTGATCATTCAGCAATCAGATAAAAATCTCAAGCGTCACCATCAGGTTCCCATGAAATTGGTGCTTTACATTTTTAGCACCTTCAGCTATCTAATCAATTTGCCTTTTTAGTTTAATCTGTTCCATGGAAACAAGTTCTCATTAGACTATGGAAAAATATAGTAGCTGTAAACTAATATTCTTCAGGTCCTCCTTTTGCGAGCGCTACCTCTCAATTTTATCTGTTATAGTCATAACTTGATTAGTTCCACAATAAATGCACGGGTGGTGTCCATAGCGCTTTGTTACACAATGAAAATTTGCTGCAGAATGGACTGATTGCCTTACTGTTATGTTCTATGGCAAGAACTGAAAAATGTTACTTTCACCGTGCTTGGCGGGGAAAATGTTAATGCACCTTCAAATTGGTTGCAGATGGTCCTTTAAGCTTTGTAGATTATTTTATAAAATCTTATATTTATTTTTTTCTAACTTTGAAGTTCAAATTACAGTAAAAGCCTACTTACACTGCAATGATGCCAGGAACCGAACGCAGTGTTGTCACAATTTTTACCCGTCTGTTGAAAGTTGCTATACCAAGGTTTTACTGTACTACATTTCTCTTCAACACACAATGATTATGGCATAGACTTTAAATCAAAGTTCAAAGTTGAGATCAAAATTTTAAAGGGTTCAGCCAGTCTCCACACGTTAAGTCTAGTATTATTTTTCCTCCTGGAATATCTTGCAGTCAAATTTAGTCAACACTTGATGTATTTAATTTTGCCCTTTTTTTCTTTCAGATGTATTGCTATTCTGTCATTCATGAAAGTTTACTTGAAATTTTACTATCACTCCTAGAGCATACTCTAAATGAATTTAGGAATAACCCATCGGATGGTAGAATATGTCAGACACTAGAAACATGTTTGTTTGGATTCCTCTCAGTAGCTGAGAATGTCAATATCTCTGAGAATAAATATTTACCTCAATTTTTCATGACTCTGAAAAATATTCCTTTCCATGTTGCAAGTATTTTGACTGCAACTATTGAAGCAATTGGTAAGTGTACTATCTCATTTACTTTCTACCATTTCTTAATTATCTGAAAAGAATGGGCAAAAAATATCTTTCCATACAAGTTTCCTTCCCATGAGGCTGTTTACAGCTCATTTTAAAAATTAATGGGGGCAATCCAGAGTTGCAAAACTTTTATACCACCCTACTGAGAATGTTGCAGTCGGTTGGATGTGAAAATGAAAAGGCCGGCAAAATTGCTTTCTTTTACAAAAGCAAGCTTGTTTTTTGCTAAATGGCACTAAAAATCATGTGTTCTCTAAATTGCGTCAATTTATATATTAAGAGCGGAGTGTTCTAACTTTTCTCCCAAAAATCTTGGGAGCCATCGTGGCTGGATAGCCCAATTTTTAGGAGCCATTTTTCATATCTTTGACAGAGCATCTGTTCACAGCTATAATAAAATAACAACTTAATTTGAGGGAAGACTGCAAAAAGGGAGCAAATCAAAAGAGAAACCCGGAACTTTTCGAATTAGTCACAATTTCGAAACACTCCGGATTTCTCTTTTGATTCGCTACTCTTTTGCAGCCTTTCCCCAAATTAAGTTGTTATTTTATTAAGTATTTTTGGCTGATTAAGTTGTTCTTCATTTTACAGCTATAGCTTGAAATTTTGCATTTTTCAAGGAATGTTTTTTTCTAATTACAACCAAAAACAAATTGCTCTTGGTCGAACAGAAATTAAATGCATTTCTAGTTATTTATCACTGTAGATGCCCTCTTTTTTGTGTAATCCTTTCTTTCACCTAAAGCTAAGTTACATTCGATCTCAACTTTTTTCAGGTGCTTATGCTGATTGGTTAAACGAGCACAACGATGTGTTGGGTTACGTCTTACCATTGCTTTTAGACACGGGTTTGAATATGCCAGAAACTGTTGCATCAACTTCTATGGCCTTGAAAGATATTACACGACCAGCTTCTCCTAGTCTCACGCCTTATGCAGAGCATATACTTATAGCCATCCAGGTAATTTTTTGTCTTGCTCAATTCAGCTCCCTAAATTTTTGTATTAGACTTCCTGTCTTCCTGACTTGATAAGTAGGCAGTTGTTTACTACAGACTGTCACACACAGTAGACAAATCTAGCAGTATCTCCTGAGAGAGAAGTATTAGTTTTTGGTACCGGCGCACAACAGTAGCAAGGCATCTTCTATGTGGATTGTGAGAAAAGGAGGGAATTTCAGACCTTGCGAATGCCTTGATCATAGTTTGTGCAAAATTACCCTTAAGAAACAACTCAAATTTTTGCTCTACTTGCGTTTGCAGTAGACCCATTTTGTAAAGTATACTTTTCTTTCTTACAATCAGGGTTGCCACAGTCAGGTTATACCACAAAGACTAGTAAATTTCTGGGACTTTTAAAAAGGCAGGGAAAACCTGAAAATGCCAGGGAAAAATCGTTAAGTCACCTTTATTTGCTTTCTAGAATGGATTTGACGTTTCGAACAAAACATTTTCTCTGAAAACTACGTCTAAATATGTCTTTTTAATCATCTGGCATATCTTCCATTGTCAAAGAATTTCACCAAATTCTGTTGGAGAAATCAGGAAAATGTTGGGGATTTTTTATCTAAATTCTGTGGCAGCCCTGTAAAAAACAATTTAAATTTTCGCTTAAGCTACGTTTGCAGCAAATCCATTTTGCGTAGGATACTTTTCCTTCTTACAACAAGGATGGTCTCTCTTCCCTGTAATTTTATTATGAAGCATGAATGTGAAACATTATTTGCCTCCTAATCTCTTGGTTGAAATGTTATATTATTCTTTTCTTTTAGAATGCACTCAACAAAGGAACTATCAAACGAATGGAATGTATCAGACTAATGTTCAGTGTTGGAAGAGCTCTTTCAGTATTGCCTGTGGAAACTGCAATGAAATACATGGACACACTTCTCTCACCACTAGTCATTCAGTTGCAAACCCTAGTAGAACAACCGGTGAGCATTTTATTCTTTGGCTTTAAGTTTGATCATTTTATTGTGGAACTTTAAGTCTGAAATGTGTTCATCGCCCTATTAGCTTCGCTCATTCAGTTATGTATTTTACAGCAGACTGATTATTTAAATTATGTGTTTGTCTACCGAACAAGACTAGACTAAGATGAAATTGAGCTATGTGATTGGTTAGCTTTGTTAGTCAGACGACGGACAACCGCATTGCAGGGGTGCAGGAAATGCTGTATCCTGCGCCTGGGCAGGCATGTGAAAATATAGGAAAGCCCTACATATTATGTGAAAGGAGGGCAAATTTTTAAGGGTCTAAAGTTAAAAGTCTAAAGAAAATAGAAAAAAATGTCGCTATGTTTGACATCAGTGGGAAATTTTGTGGAAAGCCAATCAGAAAAATGTAAAAAGCCAAAGGACGAGCTAGAAAAATGTGGAGGCTTTGAAGATTCTGCTCAAGGTGTCCAATGTCTGGAAAATCTGGAAAGTCAGAAAATGTATGGCGACTGGAAAAAACCTGTGAAAATTAGTAAATTCATAGGAAAGTCAGGTAATTTCGCAAGTAGAAGTTAATGGAAGTAATTGGAAGGAAAAAAAATTGAGTCGAAGTTTTATTTGAATGTCAAGGGAAGGTTGTGAATTAAAAAATTCTGGAGTTAGGGAAAAGCACGCATCATAGGAATAAGTCAGGGAATCAGAAAATGAAGTACTAATAGAAACCCTGCTACTGCATCTCCAACCCTTCTAGGGTTAGAATAATTTACTTGCTCTCAGCCAGCAGAATAATTTCAGCATGATTTTATTTATAAATGGTTCTATGTTTAAAGCACATGCAAATAGCCTTATTTTAGATCTTCTCAGATTTATCAGAAATTTTTAGACTTTTTTTATTTGCTTTGAACAGCCTACCCCTCAGTTGAAATCTGGGATTGAGCAAAGGCTAAATATGTTAAGCACAGTTTTTACATCACTACAAGAAAACCCCACACTGATCGATGATCCTCGCCAACCTGTTTTCATTATTTTGGAGAAAACTATACCTGTGTTGAAACTCATAACTGACAAATGGATCTCGGAAAACACTGTAATTGAGGTAAGTCAACTTTTTCCCTAATTTTTTCCAACAAGAAACATTTCTTAATTCAAAGTCCCACACCAAGGTGTAGCTAGGTAGCATCAAAATTAAGTGCCTTGAATACCTTCTCAGTCCAATTTGTGAGTTTCAGACTCGCCTAACAAAACATATCTTTATTTTTTCTTTAAATAAATATACGTTTAAATACTGCAGATGCATTTTTATTGTAGCCTAATGTTATTTGTCAATAAAGTTTTATATTGTGCAATAAACTAGGTCAAAAAATATTAAGAGTGCTGCAAATAAATAGTATGCAAAGTAAGCGTTTTCAAATAAACGTTCAAGTCAACGATTTATTTATTTATCTCCTAGTTTTAACCCTTTCCGGTCCGCAGCAGTTTTCCATGGCCGGGAGAAGCGAGGTTAAGGTAGCAGCGATGTTGTCAACAAAGACAGTGGTTTCCAAAGGGTCCACCAGAGGCCGCCACTTGCTGGAGCAGTTGAATATACCCGACATCAGGCCTGCACAGAGGTTAAAACTTTAGGGCGACTATATCCGACATCGGACCTAAGCGCGTTATTTTTCACGGCGAATATATCCGACATTGGACCGGAAAGGGCTAATCTCTTGCGTGTGAATATCCTCATTTTCTTCCGTTTTCAATAATACAATCCTATCTATCTCATCACCTGGTTTCTAACTATTGCCTCGCTTTTGTCTTTTTTCTTAACTCTGGATGTACATCAGTGGCGTGGCGTGAATTGCGATACATCGATTGTTATGCCATTTAAACCTATGGTAAAGAATCGATTATTAAGGTGTTCGCTGCGAACACCCTATTTATCGATCTTTTTCCATAGGTTTGAATGGCATAACAATCAATATATCGCAATTCACGCCACGCCACTGATGTACATAAGCTTCTTTTGTTTAAGTATGTCCAAGTATCATTTTAAAGCCTTTTTGTAGCGTCTCTGTAATACTTGATAAAATTTCTCTCCTTTTGTGTTGAAATCCTCATTTATATTTTTGTCCCTTGACATATTTTTCTTTTCATTTTTTTTCAGGCTGTGATGGACTGTCTAAAAAGTTCAGTAGGAATTATGAAAGACAGTAATAGTACTGTGGTTCAAGCTTTGTTAGAAATGTTAGTCAAAGCTTATCGAGCGCGGCCTAATACAACCAGTCTTCAACTAGCAACATTGGTAAGCGTTTTTTTCCCACCAATTCAAGCTCTACGTGCAGAAAGTTGATACAAGGGGGGATAATAGAAAGTTAATAATGGGTACTGCTACCCACCTATAATTCAGAAATGACAGGATATGCTAAATCCATCACATTTAGTTTTAAATTGACTTTACGTATTATCAGACTACTGGATTGGAGGGGTGGCATTAATTTTTTTAAATGGAGTTCTTTAAACTTGAAGGTGTGCTGAGTAGTGAGGTTTCTATTTTTTCTTTCTCTCCTCTCTGGTTTCAAGAACTTAGAAGAAAAACCTGAAAGTTCAGAGGTGATGTGGAATCAGGTTTCTGCTGTTGCATCTAAATAATGTGGCTAATTAATAATAGGACTATCACTCCTATTCATTCATTATAATATAAGAAAAATTGTGAGGTTCGTTTTTCCTATTCAAACTGGAAGTTTGAAAAAAGTTCAACCTCTTAAGATAAAAAAAAATTAATGAAATCGCTGAAAATGATAAAACCCCTCCTTCCCTTTTTAATGGAACTTTCCCTTTTTTTTTTGTGCCTAATATATTGCTACTTTATTTTTCAGTTCCTCATTTCATTTCACCAGCAACAAAATGAACTTATGTGCTTGTTGTTCTCCGAAATTTGTTCAACTTCCTTACGCCTGGCTGAAAGTTGTCCTGATGGCAATCTCTCTCATCATGCTGATGTTATTGAATCCTTCTACGCGCTGTGCGCACAAATCCTGAAGAAAAATCTCGGACATTATCTATTATCGGATGGTGTCGATCTTCATAGTCTATTCAAATATGGTAAGTCCCCTTTTTGTTTTCAACTTGTCCTTTTTGCTAAGTTTGAAAGCCAAGAAGAGCTTTCATCAGTGAAAAATAAGTGATCTGAAGTTGTTGTGCAAGATAAAATGGTTTCCATTGACTGCATACCAATAGTGTTTTAAATAGCATCACCCCATAGTTTCAATCACTGTGGATCTCATGTAAACTAACCATTATTTTAAAGTGGTTGCCTGTAGGCTCATATTCACGGTTAATTTATGTATATTTTATTTCTGACTGATCAGAATCTTGTGGAATTTTTTCCGTTTCAATGAAGAAAGACGACCGTAGAGTTATTCAAGATATTATGTCAATTGATTTGAAAAATTATATATGATGGGTATGCAAGACTTCAGTGTTGCAAACATGAGAAGGATATATATTTTTTGCGGTGTTTCAAAATCTTTGCTCCTATTTTATTTTATCGTTGAGAAACAAACCAACATTATAGCTTGAAATGTATACAGAATATTCTTCTAGCAGAGGAGAAAAATCAAGGAAGTGCTCTAGAAATTCTGTCTACTAGTTTTCCAAAAAAAAAAAAAAAAAAAATAAANAAAAAAAAAAAAAAAAAATGAAATATGAGGGAAGTCTGCAGCATTGCAAACGGAGACATATGGTTTTGCGCTTTGGCTATCGATGTGAGTTTTGTCCTATTTTAGCACTGTTGTTGTTAACTTATGTCATTTGATCAATCTTTGGTGAATTTTTGAAGTCTTCAATTTATCAATCAACACCGAAAATCAATGTGAGAATTAATCAATTGAAATTTTAAATCAGCTGTTGCAGCGTTATGTGTCCCGGAGGCTCGAACAGTGCGATCTGCTTCATCGTTTTTGACCACCTTCATCAACATCAGCAGAGATACCCCCGCATTCCTCAACATAGTTCAATTACTTGGTGAAGAAACAGTCATTAGAATTCTAATGTGTATAGGTATGTTTTATTTCTTTTCTAAAATCTTCTTTCGATGGGTTTAAATAGTTTTGTTGATGAGGTGACTTGAGAAATGCCGGTGGGATCATTTCTCTGTTTTTCCAATTCTGTCTTAATTTCATCAATTAGGCCAGCAGAATGATGCCATCACATTAAAGTCAGCGAGATTAACTTTATACTGGAGTCCCTAGAAATCTAGTGCTTTTCAAAATCTCATTCATTGCACATGGTGTCGTCTCCTGCACAAAGGAACGTACCTTGATCATGCTGATACAGTGTTTCTTACTTACATTTAATTTTTTTTTCTATAAAAAGAGCGCCATATGAATTTTCTTGGAATTTCTAGTGATGTTTCTTTACCCTTGTGAGAATAGGCTCTGAAATTTTCAGACTAATTTCTGAAATGGTTCTTATGGAAAAATTTAGTGTTCATGGAAATACTGAAACTGCACAGGAAAGCTAGATTTCTTGGTGCAGGAGATGATGATTTAACTTGTCAAACCGTTGCCTACGAGAATGGAGAGGCAGTAAATAGTCAGCTTTGTGACGTCAAGCTAGTAGATATTTACCATAAACAGCAAGCATCGGTCATCGGTGCATTGATGAGTGAGGCAGTCACTGCATGGACCAACCAGAGTGGCCCCTCAATCGGCCAAAATTGCCAGAGCAGCGCATTTGAATCTGAGTGGAGTAACGATTTTCGGTATCAACCTTTCATCTCCTTGATTGTCAGACAGTGTCATAAATGGATCGGTCAGTGCTCTGAAGTGAAATTTCATCCTCTTTCAAAAAGGTTTTTATGAATTTTTGCATCAGATCAACCTCGGAAACGATATCGGCTCGAAAAGAACACATGTTAGGCGTTCTCCCACAAGAACACATGTTAAACCTCGTCCGAGTTTCATCCACTAGCGTGACGTCACAGGAATGGAGTTACAGCCTCTCTATTCTCGTAAGCAACGGTCAAACTCAGAAACAGGCATTTTACAATTTAAGCAGCTCTATAATTTCTCATAATAATAATATTCTAACCTCTGCAAAACCACTATCACTAAACCCATCTGTGAATTTGTTAAATCTTATCATCAAGAATTGATAAAAGTTTACAGCAAAATAGGTTTTCCAATCTGCGTTTTTTGTAAATTGCATGGCTATAGTTCCGTGTTCAGCATTTTTTCTAAAAATATTCTTAGATTTCTTTTGTCAATGAAATGCGCACACAGTCTCTTAAAGCAGTCAGTCTTCATAATATAATTTTTTTGCGCTCTATCTTAAAACTTTTCTAGTGTTTTCTCCTCCTTGGTATCAAGATGTTTTAGAAATGCGCTCAAGCTCATATGTTTGTGTTCCTCTTATTTTAGGTGGTTCAGTCCCAAGACAATGTTTAGACCACTTGACGGACATTCTAATGGTTTTCAACAAGAAGTATTTCGATAATTTCTCTCGATGGTTAAAACTAGCCTTGTCACAAGATGGTTTCCCGTCTCCATGTGCCTCTTCAGAAAATAAGCAACACTTTTCAAAATCGATATTAAAGTAAGTACAACTTAGGCAAAATAATGTTTGATATAAAAAACAGGTGTTGCAAAAAAGGGGAAGAAGAAGAAAAAAAATTATCTCACCTCTGTGACTAACAAAGAAATGATCAAATATGTGAAATTCCTGTAGAGTTGGGCAGGCAGGTGGAAACAACAGGAAAAATCCCTTTGGGCCGGTTGATATTTCTGGTAACTTTGAACCAGATCATCTTATTCATATGGCAAAAAAACAACTCAAATGGGTTGGTCTAAGCACTGAAGTATTAACCTTTTACTCAAGCATATTCAGGTTTTTCTGTGAGTAGAAAGTGTGATTTACAGTGGAAAAAATTATTATTCTATAATTTAGAAGTTAAATTCGGAAAATTTCAATGTGACCATCATTTTCATATTTTAAGTAACATTTCGATAAAGAAACACATATTGTGCTTCTTAGTTTCATACCATGTTCAGTAGTCCAATGGTTAAATAGACTATATTTTGCAAAGGAACTACATTATCTAGCCATTCCGTAAAAACACTCATGTGCATTGGGACACTAATGGTATATACATCCTCTCTATACTGAGCTAGATATTGTAGTGTCAAATTGCAAAATGTAGTCCTAAGATATTGTCGTCTCCATGCTTTTTTTTAATCTGAATTGTAACAATTATCGAGAATTGATCAAGAGAATGCTCTCAATAAATTATTTATGTCATTGTTTCTTGCTATTATTACGTGAAAATTCCAAGTTATCATCACTTCCAGATTACAGTCTCTGCAGAAAAAAACAAGCATATAGAGAAAGTCAGTTTGATTAAACAATTTTTATCTGAAAATATTCATATTTATTATCTTTTCTTGCAGGGAACGAGCGAATAAAAGGAAAATGCAGGAGGTTGTTCGAGAGTTTTCATTGATATGTCGCGGTCTGATATCAACCGATCATGGTGCTCAGATTCCTTCCTGAAGTAGTACGTACTTTGCTTTTGATTTTTTAGTTATTAGCGTTGTTTTACATTCTTTTAACATGCCTTTATTGAAGTTTTTAATGAGTATTATTGTTCTCATTTAATGTATTTTTTCAAATTTTTGTCTCAATTTTAACCCTCTAAATAATTTTATTAATTATTATTATTATCATTTTGTTCATCTCCTTTTATTATCATTTTCATTATTATAATCATTTATTTTCATTATCACCATCATTATCAGAGTTTGAAATTTTGCTGGTAAAGGTTTTTTGTCGTTGAGTATCTGAGCAGGTTTTTTTCTTTGTGCTTGGTGAGACATTGATTTAGTAGGGTATTTTCTTAGGATAGAACAAATTATTTTCTAATGTACAATGACAAAAAATATATTAAACCAGCTGGTCAGAGGCAGTTTTTCTGGTAATTCATGTAAGTGAAAGGAAATATGTATTTTTTGACCTGGTTAATCTGGCGCAAGATTAGCCGTTGGCAGAAATATTTTTAGATGCTGGTGTTTAAAAGCTCTCTTAAAATTGGCAGGTTTTTTTTATTTTTCAAGACTTCATTTTGTTGTTGATATTTTTTTTCTTGGTTTCTTTTCCCTCTTAATTCTACACCTTTGATTTATGAATTAGACTGTCCAAGCCTCGAATGACTGGAATTAGATATCTGGAGTAATTCCGTAATACCTCGATTATCGGGCAATTTATGGTAGTTGAATGTCAAATGCGCTGAATGATTTGAAATGCATTGGAAATGTCAGGAATCATGAAATGGCAATAGAAACTGCAGGAAAAAAGTGGGGAAAGGGTGAAAAGCTATAGATATAACTGACAGTGCCGGACACTCGAGGTATTCTTGGAGACTTAAAACTCTATGAAGCAATAATAAATTGATTGTTAAATTTTACACACACCAAATAAGTCTTCATGCTTTTTCTCTGACCGCTATTTTTCTAAAATAAATCCCTCAGTCTTTACAAACTGTTAGTTTGTACTATTTCAAGATGGTAATTTTGCTATGGAAATAACTATCCTCATTGAAATACTCAAATTCAAGTTTCAAGTACATAAAATCTTCGCCAGGTAAGTTTGCAGTTGTCTAATTTTGGTTGCAGATAGTGACATCACTGCCAAAGGGGTATATTGATTTTTGAATTACCTTTCCTGCCACAAATTTTATGCTAATTTAAGAGAACGATGGTTCTAATAATTTTGCAGTGGCTAGTAGTAAATAGGGTCGCTGATGCCATTTTGCAGTTAAGATGTAAATCGATTGATTGTTCTCATCAGTCAAAGGTAGGCAACTGCCAACGTACCTAAACGGAGTTCTAATTGCCAAGAAAATATGAAGGAGTTAGGTTCGAAGTCAAGCCAAGCTAATCATCATCTTCTGTCCTAAATATCATAAGCACCAATTGTGCTTATGCACTTCATTGCAAGACTTCTCAAACTTGTCCAATTTTTACAAAAGAATCAACGAACAGAATTACTTGAAAATTTTACCCAATCTTTTTTTTTTGTCATCAAGATTAATCCATAAAATTTTTGTGAAAGTATGTGCAAAAGTTACAAAAAAAAAAAAAAAATTAATAAATTAAAACCCTGTTGAGATGTCTGGCAACATAGCATCCAAGTGTAAATGGCGCTTGTGATACTTTGGATGGAAAAAATGAAATTTTGACAGAAGCATGAATCCTTAAAATTTCATGATTATCACCACCATTATCATCTTCATCTTAATCACCATCATTCATCATCATCATTATATTCTTGTTTTATTCTATAATATTACATGTTTTATTCTCATTTTGTACAGTTATTTTTTAATTGTCTATTAATCAGTTCTTTATCAAGTATACATTGTTCAACTATGATTTGCTAGACATTGAGCCTTCAGAATTCTCATTCATATGTTTGTTTTTTGTGTCAATCAAAGCAGGTTTTCACAACTACAGAACACATCACTAAACAAGGTGCAGATTTGAGCATCACGATTAATGTTATCTCATCAAAATTTCACATAGAAAAGGGTTTGTACAAAAACAAAACAAAAAAAAATTACTATAAGCAACACCTAATCAAGACATTAACGGTTTTTCTGACATAAATTCAAATTTTCAGCTTATAAAAACCACAATCTACTCAGTTAATCGTGCTTTAAATGTCACCTGCGACCGGTGCCTACGAGAATGGCGAAAGTAAACAGCGAGAAGTAACTAGTCAGTTTTGTGACATTAAATTAGTAGATATTTACTGAAAACAACAATCATCTCTGGGCCATCGGTGCATCGATGAACGAGGCAGTCGCCGCGTGGACCAATCAGAGTGGCCCTCGATCAGCCAAAGTTGTAGTGCGCAATCTGATTCAAGTTGACCCTGGTTTTTCTTGTGAGTGGGAAATTCAAATTTTTCAGAACCACTGCTTATTAAAAATGTTGATGTTTTCGTCAGAAATGAAAGGTAGTAATATTTGCTGTGCAAATTATGTCGAACGTGAAATTTCGAAGAGGCTCCATACATCTGAATGCTTAAATTCGTATCTAGTCTAGTGGTCCATTCTTTTTTTGTTGGTCAGTTCCTCTTTCAAAGTGATGAGACAACTCTCTTGTGACCCTAATAGTTCAGTCAGTTTGAGAATACGCTGACAAAGTGGTGTTTTTTGTTCAAATCACTAGTTGATAATGAATAAGTTTGTTTATTAAAGAAAATTCGGGGAATTGAACCTTTCTCTTGCTAATATTTATAATTCCACAGAATCCTGGAGGTCTCGCTGTCTACTTATTAATAACTTGTTGCTCATGTTGTAATATTATTTATGTTTTATATTCGTATCTAACTGTAATTTATTCCAAACTATTACGGAAACGAGGGGTTTTCGGGCTTTATGTGATATTAAATTTTAATATGAAATAAATTTCTTGATATCTGTAAAATCCTATATTGATCTTAAGATTAGGGAAATAAGACGGTTTTTTTTCTGATTGCATGAAACAAGTATGTTTACCTGTGGTATTTTTTTCTGTGAAAATTAAGATTAAGAGACTAAGCTGTTATGAAGGTTTAAGATTGAGAGATCAGTTGAAGAAATGAAGAAAGGGGGTACGTAGTACTTACAGAAAGATTCTGCTCAAATGCAAGACCAAGGATTCAAGGACCATTTAAGTTCTTATGTACCTCAAATGCAGCAGTGCAGAAACTTCTCGATCGCACAAGCATAATTGCATGGCCGCAAATGTGAAAAAATGGGAAGGCCAAAAAAATGAGGAAGGCCAGCTATCAAATCGTGTACTTTTTAAAAAGTTGCGGTAAAAATTGCGTGTTTTCCTTGAAAACGTGACAATTTATGAATGAAGGACCGCTGAAAGGTCGTAGTTTTGAAAATCTTGGGAAGAAGGGGTTTGTAAAATGGGAAAGCTAGTCTGAAAAATGAGAAAACTGAGAAGTTTCTGCATTTCTGTTTGAATGATTAAAAATTGTCTGCCTACGTTGTTTGAAATATGAAGAAGGTGTTCTTCATTGAGCGTTTTATTTTATATGTAGTCCATTTATATATCCTCAACCCATTGTTGTTTCGAAACCATTAATTCAAATCATTAATCGGACAGATTTAACTAGAATCAATTTAACTGCTTTTCGCTGATCCTGATTTCCTCCCTTTTTCACCAGAAAACTAAGCATTTATCAAAAAACCGTGAAACTTTACATCAATTCATTCCAGAATTTGATAAACGTCCTTACGAAATAAATGCTCAGGCAGGATTTTTTTAGTTTTCTTTTGAATAAAAAAAAAACTTGGGAGGAAAGTAGATGATGTCAAATGTAGTTAGGTTGATTCAGGTCAAAACTATCCAATTATGATGAGAGTACAATAGATTTACAATAGAGTATCATATTTTGTTAAAATATTTGGATGGTATATTCATTTATCAAGTAACTTTAAAGTGGTGTTCTAGCTAAATTTTTCAACATGGCTTCATATTAACATGTTGTATGCAAACACTCTTTTATGTATATGTTCCTGAAGCGCTCAGAAATCATGCTAAAAAGAGCTAACTTAGGTGAATAGTTGAAAAACTCAACAGGGTCAAAAAACTTTCTGCCCAAAGTTTGCTTAAAATTACTGTCGGTTTGTTGTCAGTTGATGCCAATTTACCGGTGTCAACATCATAAGCCTTATCAAGCATGCAATGTGTTAAACATTTTTGCATCTTCATTAACAAGTCACAAATTGATTAATTTTGGGTCTCTTCTTTATCCATGTGGTCTTTCTTCTGTATTTTAATGGACTAATCCAATTATCCTCTGACATTGAACCAATCGAATTACAAATTTCTCTCTTCACTGATGTTTTCCTTCATTTGTATTTTTAGTGCTGGCAGAATAGCAAAGCGCTTTTCTTTTTTCTTATTCTATGTTTTACCTGCATGAGATCAGTTGTGCAGGGGTGCAGAGACTTCTTGATTACAATTGGTTAAGTGTGAAAATGGTAATTCCCTGTAATAGGGTCGTTTTAAATAGGAACGCCACAAAGAAAGGTCTCGACAATGGAGAGGCTGACTTGGGTATAAACTGCAAACATGCTATAGTAACAGGAAAAAGAATAGAGATCGGGATTTCTATAATAAGAGACCATTTTAAAAAGTAGGAGGGCTAAAAACTCTCTGCATCCCTGCAGATTTGTGTCACTACTTAAATTTGCTCATGTGCACCAGCACATTGTTCACTTTCTCATGAATTTACTATATACATGCTTGGATCACTTGAATTGGACTATCACCTGCGTTTTAGTCGATAACAAAAATCTTTTTTACATTTGTAATCCTATGTGTCATTCTATCAATAAGTAATCATTACATTTTATCCTAACTATGGTTTTACAACCTTTGTAGACTTTTGGCTAGTTTTCTCAAATGAACGATAACTTCTAATTGGATTTCGTATTGCACCAAAATGTAGTTACTTGTGTTAAAATTATGTTTGAATCTAGTGTTCTGTACACAAACTCAGCAGCATATCCAGCAGCCTGATCGTTGAAATGTTGAGATTACTTGACAAGACAAGACTGGTCGGTTTGGTCAATTGTCTTTTTTGCCATGACTATGTCGAGTGGAATTGACAAGAAGCTAAAGTCATCTCTTAAGTCGCGGATTGTTTCTCCTTAAATTCTACCGACATAGGCACAATAAAAAGGACAATTGACAAAGCGGACCAATCACTTAACTCCATTTGGATGTATTTCTGTCAAACGGAACTATGTGCATTAGGACGTGAGCTCTGCCATGCATATATTCTTATGGGTCTCAGGGCTCATGTCTTAATGCACATAGTTCCGTTTGGCAGAAATACGTTCATTTGTCCTTAGTCTTCTCTCGTTCAGTCTATCAGGCTGTTGGTGATTGTCTTCTTTTTTTTTCCACTCACTGAAAAAATGTGTGTGACACGCTCAATCTTTTCATTGAATAGATGCTACTTTGATAAAAATATGCAATAATTCAACTTATTCACTTTATGTCCTCTTTTCTCAAGACTGTGTCAAATTTTAGATTCCTGTTTGTGAAAATTTGACTTTAAATCGTTAAAACTATTAGCAGGAGAGTCCTGGGCCTCCTAATATTATAGCAAATTGGAATCTCAAATTTACTAAATGGTCTTCCACTAAAATATCTCTGCGTGTTTAGGTCTAGTGTTTTAGTTTATTCTATATCAAAACGCATCAGGGACTTGGATATTGGTTATAATTTAGATCATTGGCTTGCAAAATTTCTTTCATAAATCGTTGTCTCCCAAAAAACGGATCGCAACTATATTCCAAGATGAATAGATGGCGCAAGTTTACCTGCTGCCAGCGTCCGCTTGCCCAAGTCCTGGACTGGTTTTTACGACCTCTCGAGCACAGTAGCAGAAAATTAAGGAGGCTGCACTGCACTGAGGATTTGCCCAACAAGGCCGAAATGTGGCTGCAGTTGCCGTCCTGAAAGGACGTAACTATATAGTGCTGCACCAAACAGCATATTTCTTTGAAGGAAAATTGTGCCCATATGAGCTTTTTTCCTCTGTATTGAGATTTTCAGCTTTATGCTGAATTTTTAATGCACGTTGGCAAAATACTCCAACATATTTTATTCCAAGGTTGCAAAATTGACTCAAACATTACAATTTTTTACAAAAACATGACTGCAATTCCAGTCCAAACTTTCATAGATTTTTGCAGGTTATTGGATCAGTGAAATTTTCAGTCAGAAAACCCTGAAAGTTTCCTGTTAAAAATTGAATTTGTCAGTGGATTTCTCAACGTTGAAATGTAGTTATGTTTGTTGGTCTGGGAGATGACTAAATGAGTACTGCAAAATGTTGTCTGCAAAATCTGTCTAATGGGTTGCAAAATTAGGAGGTCGTTATCTGTAGTTTTGTAAAAGGCCATAAAAAAGACATTAGAACACCTAGTCAGCCAGGAACTGTGCAGATCTTATTCTAATTTGACAGGCCTCTTGATCTACTCATTTAAGTTGTTAAAATTCCTGCAGTAGTCTCATACTTCAAAATTTTATTTCTTTTGAATGTTAATCATACCATATTTCTATATTGTGCCTACTCGTCTGCTCTTTGACACGTGACGAACCTAGTAGATTTATATCTTTTAATGTTTTTCCTATTTTTCTACGTCAATTTATGTAAGGCAAACTTGTGTTTTAGACTTAATCATCCAGTTTTTCTTCCTTATCGGCTTTCTGATAACACTAATAAATGTTTGTTTTTTGTTCCACTTGCTTCCTCCTAGATATATAATTAAATGAGTGTATTCTACCAGTACTGTTTCCACAGGTAAATAAATAGATGACCAGTCACGTCGTAAATATGTTTTAATTCACATATTGTTCTTGAAAGTAATTTATCAGTGTTGCATTATCAAACATTTATCCATTTCTGTCATTATGTACTCAGAACCATGTTTTCTCTAAAGAATCATTAGAACAACGAACAAATATCACCTTCTGTAAATCAGTAGAAAATTGAAGGAGATTGCTTGTAACCTTTAATATCTTAGGAATTGGATTTGTACTACGTCTCCTATCAAAAGTTAATTTCGAAAGATGTATTCTTTTCATTAGGGATATTCTCTTCTGATAAATTCGCCCATTTTTCAAAGAGTCGAAAGTAATATTTTTTAGGCATTACCGCGAGTTGTTGCAGAGAGTTGAATCCAGTTTTGGTTTCCAACCACCAACACCAATAACAATACCCATATGATGAATGTTGCAAAATCTTCAAGACTGAAAAAATGCATACACCAGTAATAAAAAATCTCTGAAGTAGAAAAATTTAACAAAAAAAAAACCTTTACTTTATAAGTGGACCGCTAGACAGGCAAGCAGTGAAACATTACAATGCCTGATTAATTTTTTTCGTAGAAAATGGCAGAAAATACATTAATTTGTCCAAAGTATGAGATTGTTTTTGATAGCCGTTTGACCATTGTTCGTTATTTCATTTTTATTTTTTGTCATCAGGAATTTTAAATTTACTATTCTAGTGTAAAGCCTAAATGATTTGCTGATTTCTCACTTCAGAATCGATGATTTTATAAATAAACCTACCTATTCCTAACTTGATTGTAACTTGATGAATAACTCATTACGTAAAGAATTTCTGACGTGCTCAACGTAGTCTTGATGAAATTTTGACAAAGAAACATGACTTTTGGAACTCCAGTTCTTACCCTGTCAAGCGGCTCATTATCAAAACTTGAATATTTTTGCAAAAATGTGGGCCATAAAATTTGAAAAATTGAAAAATTAGAAGACATGGAATATTTGCTCTTACTGAGGAGCGGTTTTTCCCAAACTAATTTGTATGTTACGTAGATGCACATCAGCAAGAAAGTAGTTCATAGCTAAAGTGCGGAACCATGTATCTTCATTGCGGTTTTTCAAAATGTCCGTTCCAATTTTAAATCTAGAGGAGGAACAAGCCAACTGTATAGCACGAAATTTTTACAGAGTATTCTGCGTACAGAGAAAATCATCCAAGGAAGTTTTCAAGCAATAGCTTTGACTAGCTTTCCAAGGAAACAACAAAGTATGACAGGAAGTCTGCAACTTTGTGAACGGAGGTACGTGGTTTCGCACTTTGACCACTAAGTTAACTCCTCCCATGCCATAGAAACTCCTAGTGATACCAAGTGTGAAAGCAATCTCCTGGTTTGAAATTGTCCAGGCCCCAGGCCTAAAAGGCTTTTCTTAAAGATAACTATTCTAGTTTGTCATTGTTCACTGTTTAAATTTAAAACTTATCCCTGTAAATGTGAGTTTCTAAAACTTTAAATTGAAGAAAATATGTTAATGTCATTTCATGTATACAAGCTGTTTTACTTAAAAAAAAGCTTTAGAGTGTTCTATCAGCAGGGAAAATTAATCATAAGTGTAGAGAATGGGATGCTAATAAAAATTCCCCTAAAAATTTAGAAAATATCATTTATACTTGCTGTGGATAAATTTTTTATTCTATTATACAACTTTTTCTTCTTTTAATTGAATATTACCTTTCTTAAATAAGGAGCACGATTTTCTAATTAATTTTTAAAGTGCCACTTAATCGTCCCAGTAAAATTTAAAACTGGTACATTTTACGAGTATGAAAGTTGTGCGTAAAAATGCATTGTCCATATTAGTCCAGGCGCCTGGTAGCTAAAAATGAGGCTACTTGGAATTTTGGGTACACAGCGATTTTTTTGGCTTAACTTCTGTTTTTTGGGTCGCTGAATCCGAATCTGAAGTTTCCTACCGCGTAGCTAGTGAGCATTTTCCGCCATTTTGAAAAAATGGCCTAAAAAGCCCTTTTTTGCGGTTTTTTTTAATTAGCGGCCACGCATGAGAAAAAATCCCGGATTTCGCTAATGTTTTGAATAGCTGACAATATTTTGATGAAAATGGTATATGAATATGCTGGGTTTGCTCAAAAATTAAGGTAGATACAGCATCGTGAACATCGCGGCCATTCACGTTTTCGCGGCGCACCCGTTAACGCTTGATCCGGCTCGCCGCGGCCAGCTGAGTTCCGAAGCGTTCCAAAGTTCCGAGATCCGAGGTTTCCCAATTTTTGAGCAAACCTAGCATAACCATGTACCATTTTCTTCCAAATTTTGTCAGCTATTCAGAACATTAGCTAAATCCGGAATTGTTTCTCATGCGTAGCCGCTATATAAAAAAAACCGCAAAAAAAGGCCTTTTCAGGCCATTTTTTCAAAATGGCGGAAAATGCTCACCAGATACGTGGTAGAAAACTTCAGATTCGGATTCAGCGACCCAAAAAACATGAAGTAAGCTAAAAAAATCGCTGTTTACCTAAAATTCCAGGTAGACTTACCAGGCGCCTGGACTATAACTACTAAAATTTCCACTAGTCCAATCTAGTAGTCCATACAACCCTTCTATGCCCTACCAAACAACTCGTCCTGATTGTTCACTTGAAATGTTTTCCATGTCTCAGTCAATTTTCTTATTAGTCGCTATGTCGAGCCTCTTAGCGTGAAGCTGGTGTAGGGGACTCTTACTTTTACTATATACCCACCCAACTCTCTAAAAACCTAAAAAAATTCTACTGTACATTCCCATTCTTTCAAATCCTTCTTAGCTTTAATATAACCTCCTCTGTCTATAGATGGCTGTAGATTCCTATCAAAATAATACAAAGGAATAGAAGCCACAAAACTCAAAAAAAGAAGAAAAAAAAAGAAAAATTACGAATATTTTCTTTTGAAATTTCATGATGATTTACATCTAATTGTGACTAAAAATCTTTGAAAAATTGGAGGAAAAATATTCCTAGTTTTCCCTGAATATTCGTATTTTATCAAAGGAAATGAGGCAACGTCTTGAAGTTCATACAGCGTTTTCCCTTAGCAATAGCATTATTTTTAAAAGTATTATTTCCTTGAAGTTCAGCTTCAATTCTGTTGCACCTTAAAAATTACAGCCGTATGACTGCACTATTTCAGTTGTCAAAATGACTGTTTTTCAATACCTGGGACTGAGTGAAAAACAAACAAAAATTACATTATCAAGACAAACTGTAATTCAACTAATACAAATGAAGTTAAAATTCAGGTAAAATACAAATGCTGTATGAACTATGATACAATGATTTGGAAAAAGGAATAAATAAAATAAATATTCAACCAAAGGGAAAAATGTATGGCCACAAAATTATCCTTCAAGGCACACCGAAGAAATTCTTTGAACTATACAAACATCTAAGTAAAAAATTATGAATTTTTTGCCCATTTACTGCTCTTCAAATTTATGAAAAAGTTGATTTAAGGCCCCACTTGTGATTTTGGTATTGCATAACTGACATGTACGGAGGAAAAAGAAGGAAGGTAGATGGGCAGTGACGCATTTGCATCAGTACTCTAACATTTAATTATCTAATCATCTCAAAGTGTTTGAAAGAAAATTTTTCCTATGAAATCTATGACATCTTTGATGTGTCATGTAACGAACTGAAGAATCCAAATTAACTCATATTTAGAGGACAAAATGGTACTGAAATGGAACATCATTGTAACTTAGCGCCTAGATCCAGATCAGCAGGCTGATCATTGAAATTGATAGACAAAGCAATAAACAAAGGAGACAAAAAGAAAATGGAGGACTCCTATTGGTTGAAACAGGTGAAAATGAGGAAGGAGAAAAATGGAGAAAATGATGATGGGCTATCCATACGGTCTCTCAAGGATTGCCGTTTGTGAGTCTATTCCTTACCTCCTTCGCCCATTCCAACCACTTGCTTTCACCAATAGAATTGCTCCATTTTCAATCTGTTTTATTTGCCTGTAGCTTTTCTATAACTCCTAATTTCCTACTTCAGTTTAAGGCCAAAAAAGAAAATGTACTTTGAGTAATGAGAGGCGATAATGATGGAACTGAGTATTATAACTTATAGGCTGTGATTCATAGACATACTTGACAAGGAAACAGTAGCATTACTTTATAAGAGAAGAGAGCTTGTGGTGTTAAGTAAGTTATAAGTATCAAAAAAAGTTTTAAATTTAATTGTCCGAAGTGAGGTTCTAATTTGTGGAGATCATGTTTCCAGTAAGTAGGTACTCAATAACTTAATTTTAGATCCTTCAAAAATAAAGTAGGAAACAATTTTTTTTGATAAAAAAAATTGATAGACACTAATGAACATTGTCTAGGTAAGTCTAAAATAATTAAGTATTTATATAGAGAGCAGGGGCAGCTAATTCAAGTATCGCTTGATGCTGATTGCTATTGATTTTTTTTTTTTTTTGGGGGGGGCAGGAGGGAGGAATAATGTCATTTAAAATTGAAATCATCGATTTGGAGGGTTTCAATATCGGAGAGTTTCTCTTTATCTTGTGTAAAAATTTTAATTCTTTGAATTGTCAGAAACTAAAATATACACACAACACACTCTCAATCATTACCTAAAACTAAAAGTGTACAAATTTCACCTTCATGAATCGATGAAGGCGATCATACTATCATACAAATTTTACTACCTAGGTACACTTATTTAAAAATGTACAATATTAATGATGAGATGTTAGTCTAATTAATTTTAAAACTTGGAAGTTTATGGAATTATTTGTTCTATAATAATTTAATACAAAAAAAGAAAGGAAATAAACAGGCGGGTGCAGGACTTGAGCCTATAAACATGCAGAAGATATAAGGCAAAAAATATTTCCGTACATTCTAAAGCTTCTCATTTACATCAATGTATTTACACTTTTTAAAGGCTTAAATGAAAACTTCATCCTCTCCTGACAGGATGAGGGGAGAGAGAAAATCATAATGATATTGAAAAAAGATATGCATAAATAACGAACTAAGGATCTTCAAAAATAAAATAAAATGATTGTGTAGTGATACATTTTTACATTATTGACAAAGAGAGCATCTAATGCTATACAAAACAAACAATTACATTTGAATTAGAAAGAAAATTTGACAAACTATAAGGATAATAATAATAAATTTGCCTTGTTACAATGGCCAACAAAATTTAACTTTATTTTTCTACAGCCTATTGACTTCAGAATGACTTTTTAATGTCCCTCTATGAGAGAGCTAATTCTTTATTTAATGAGTTGCACCCATAAATTCTCTTAGACAAGTTGACAGCAAAGAAGTTTCCGTGATTTCAATTTTCATGATATTTATTCAATAATTTCATCGCTTCTCTCTGAAAAGGACGTAAGTATATTTCAGCGCTGCAAAATTTTGCCTCATTAATTGTATTCTTCTCAGGAAACTATTTGACATTTCAAATTGAAACTCTCGTGATTTTCCTTTTGACAACACACATAAATCAACAAACTTTTGCAACCTTAGAATGGAGTTGCATTCCTTAGTTTGAGAAACAATGACTCACAACTCCTGAGATACACAAGAGAGAAACTTATTTAAATGCTGTCCTTTACGCAATTTACACATGAAATAGGAAGGGCAGTACAATTGGAAGAATTACCTAAAATCAGCCTAACCCTATAAGAAATTGCCTGACATTCTGTAATGTTCATGTAATTTGTGATCTTTATGGAAAATGCTGATACAATTATGAAATACTAAGTTTTTAAAGGATGGACTCTACAGCGTAAGATGTCTGTTTGCAACTTAATTAGAGAAGACAACGAACATTAATTGATAAAAGTTTGAACTGAATTGATAAATAAATAAATAACATTTACAAGGACCAAAGTTCTTATAAGCCTAATAAAATCTGAAAATGTATAACTTGGTAACCTAACTCATTTACAATATCATCCGTCCTCCAGCTGCTTGGTTCTGTATATGATAAGTTATTGTCATTCGTAAGGAGGACGCCAACAAAAGAAGATGGAGACATGATTGAGGGGGGAGGGGTTTGAAATAATATTGAATAAGACTTGCTTTTTAAGATGAAACTAGGAATAAAACTTCAGATATACAGTGTAACATATTGAAAAATGTTGTTTCTCGGAGCAGAACTATTCTATCTACAAAAATTAAGGAATAGAAAGGACTGATAATGATAGAGTGTTGTTCACACATCCATACACACATTAAGTATCATGAATTTTAGCACATGAACTACGCTAAAAATAAATTTTTGATACCGAAAAAATTATCTCTCTTGATGATAAAGTCAGGAGAATTTGATCGTCAGGTATGCAGAGAAGCATGTGTGTAAAGCTGTTTCGACTCTACACTGAAAACTTTTTTGTTGCGATTAAATCACTTCATTGCTCACTGCTTTCTATTCTTTTGTTCTATTAAACTTCATTGCTGAATCGCATTCACACAGAACTTGAAGTTAAACCCGGCAGATTGAGGACAGAACTTTTCTCTAAAACTCTTTAGTAGATCGCAAGTAAAAAAACAATAAGAAGAGGGAATATTGCCTAGAATTAAAGCCCTATAAACTACCTACAGATTTGTGTGAGGAACTGGGAATCAGTCTGCATGCCGATACTTGTGGGCCGTCATTTGACTGAGGCCCAGAACAGCGTACTGACATTTCAGGCAGTGATAGTGTGTCTGTTTTCCCGAGTGTGGACATGTCTCGGGTTGACTGCATAGCCGAGATGGTGTGAATTTTTCAAAACCAGCGGCCAAAATTGAATCCATCTTTTCGTGCTGACGGCGATGTGAGACTACTTTATTTGTGTCGGAGCAAACAAAGTCGCACTTGAGGCAATGGAAATGCGCCGCTTTGTTCTGAGCAGAGCCTGAAAACAAACATTATTTTTTTATGATACTTAATTGATTTAATAATTTTAAAATACTTAATTTAAAAAAAAAACAGATATTCTCGGAACTTTTCATTCTCTCGTGTCTTGCCCGTGAACTTAAAGACCCTGAAAAAGATAATGTTGTGTGTTCTGGAAATCCTTAGGATGCTGGAAAACTTTAGGGCTCATGTTAAAATGCCCTCTTACAGAAAATTTGATTTTTATTTCACAACATGACTTCCCTTATGTTCAGTTTGAGAATGATGAACTGATCAACTTTTTGAGTGTGTTTTGCAGATCAAATAGATTAATTTGGAGTTACACTAAAATTTTCAGAAAAATTCATGTCATGGCTCTCCTGTGAAAAAATAAAATGTTTGTGTAAAAACTGAAAAAGTGCAGACATAAAAACTTGACAGAAAAAATTGAATTCTTAATGCATGTGGAATAAGATGTTCAACGAATGGAGAATCTAACAATTGAATGCTTTCTCTCCTGTAATTCAATTTTTCATCTACACCTTTCTCGTGACTGAGCTACTAAGTAGAACTGAGAAAAATTAAAACAGTAGTTTACCTAAATTGCTTGTATGAGTGCAGTCTGGTCTCCCACATGACACGCTCGCTCTGTACTGCTGAAAATCACCACCCATAAGAGTATCCAATCTGTGAAAAGAAAGAGAAAAATTACATTCAAACCAGTAGAATCAATACTTTTAACAAAGAAAAGCTTTCTATGGACCTGTTATGCCTCACGTATAACATCTCATTTTCCTCAGCTTTCTTTTAAAAAAAAAAAATGGTCAACTTTTTTTTAAGAATGTGCTTCCAAATATCCGAGTGTGGTGATGCTAATTGATTTTACTACAAATCGTCATGTGTTCTCGGCAAGTCTTCATGCTCAATTTTCAAGCTGTTCTGTGCAAAATGCCATCAAAGGTCAGGATACCTTTTGATATTTATTGATCTTAGACTTGCCTCATTGTTTTGTTACTATCTTATTATTATACTAATAGGAGAGAGTTTATCGAAGTTAATGTTCATTTACCTTTCGTGGCGAGCAGTGTGTTGAACAAATCTTGTTTTATCACAGAAACTATAACCACAGTCTTTGCGCGTACAATGAAAATGAGTTTGATGCTCCCGGTAGCCACACGGATCATACTGACAATTTTCATTGAATCTGAAAACATACAAAACAAAGATGTTATTAAAAAATTTGAAAATTTTGGTGCGGAACATAACTTCTGATCATGGTAAATTTGGAATTGGAAATTTGGTTCCAGTTCCGACAAAAATAGAGTTTGTCTTGGTACAATTTTACCTCTAGACAATTCAATTAGGTAGTAAGCTACCCTTTTCAGTTAATATACTGGCTATCAGAGTGTCTTTTTTTGCAAGCGCATTTTTCCGGCACTCGAAAACAATTTTTGTAATCAATATTTTTATCAAAATGAAAAATCCTGAACAAATTTAGCCTTGGAACTTGACTCATCTCAGTGCTTTGCTCAGGTGCAATAAGTATATTAAATTAATGACTAACGTATCTGCGAAGAGGTATTTTGTTAGTTGAGAAATACATTCAGATCATTCTCTCTTGCTTGAAGTTGAAAACTGGGGGCTCACCTAAATCTTATGTATCCTGGCGGCACAGGTTCATCTTTCAACATTCTCATTGAAGATTGCACACGAGCTTTCTTCATCTCAGGACTTATATTTTGCTGAGGAGAAATAGATCTTCGTGATAAAGAATCAGCGGCAGATTGATCATTTGTACCCAGCATTGAGTTTTTGGCAGATTCCAGAAGTCCATTGGTCATCATCGGATGGTGAGGATTGAAACCTGGAGGAGCCGCAAACATCAAACCTAAAAAAAAATTGAACGTTAAAAACTATACTCATAAAAAGGGATGAAGTAAGTTATTCGGTGAGCAATTGAGTGTTGATTGATGTGTCAACAGAAATTCAATTAACTCAGAAAAAGTATGTAATCAAATGTATGTATGTGTGTCTGTTCTTTCAGATACATGACAAAATTTCATGATTATTAAAATTGAAGAATTGACATGAAAAATTTCATGAAATTTCAGCCATCTATGAAAGATAAAACAAATCGTTGATCATTATTCCTTCCTTTATAATTATCAAAATGCTATATGATTTTTTTACAGACATTGTTTCCCTGTTTCTTATCACCCATTTTTCCGATACGAAAAAAATAAATAAAAAAATCAATAGTAAGATGAAAAAATGAAAATTTTTTGTGTTCTTTCATATTTTTTAAATCATATGCCGCCCCTGAAATGAGTGTTTTTTAGTTTTCAAAAATTTCATAGCCTCACAAAATTTGATAAAATACATATTTTACTGAAATTTCCAATCTTTCATAAGTTTCTTTCCATTCATGCCACTCAATGCAAAAACATTATGCTTCCAAAGAAAGTGTTTTGCCATTGCAAAACACTTTCAAAAAACACAACATACACAAAAAATTTGTACTCATTAGTACAAATTTTTCGTGGAAAATTGTACAGTATGGAATTAATAGCATGTAGTTTTTTTCAGACTTCAGTGATAAGTTTGACACATTCTTGATGCTTAAGGTGGATTATAATCTTTGAAAGTTTTTCACTTCATTCCATAACTGAAAGGCCTTGAAGAAAATTTGAAATGTGTGTACCTGAAGGGGAGGAATAAAGTGCCGGCATCGTAGGAGGCATGAAAGAAAGTCCGTGTGATGTCATCATCGCAAGATGTTGATTTGCAACCGCTGCTGCCATTGCAGCGCTGAATCCGGGGAAATTGGCGGATATGTCTCGATCAAAATGGGGTACAGGCACTAGTGATAGACCTGCAAAAATAGGTAATTTTTGAGTGATGTGTCCAAACTATATGACGAATTCCACTTAATTGAATTCATTCTGGAAATTGTGTGAAGTAATTAATTTTTGACTGCCTTACTCAGAAATATAATAATAAAAAAAAAAATTAGTGTAGGTATCCTACAAAACGGATGTATTTGGCATACACAGTGTATATATTGTGTAAATTAAACAAACTGAAAAAATAACCCTAAGAGGGTTTAAATTTAAACTTGACATAGGTAGTTAACACAAAAATAGCTCATACCAGGAGGAATCCTTGTTTCATCAACTTCCTCGTTGTTATTACGTTCTGGTTTTATTCCCAGGTGAGGAATGGTGCCGACAGAATGTTTTAAATTATGAGGCTTTAGTTTGTCCAAATCAGAGAATGCCTGGAATCAAAGGAAGAAAAAATAATTACCATTGGAACTCTTTCATAATAAAGAGATCATTAAATCCTGTGTAATGGGAATATGCAATTTAACGTCACGAATTTTCAAGCTCACATTATCCGCGGTTGTCTGGAGCATTGATACTTTGTTTTCTTGGATAGAAAAAGAGTGAAAGAGGTGGTCAAACGAAAAATGACATTCAAAGATTTTTCATGAAATGATCACTTGATAAGGCAAAATTTATCACTGTCTCCCCCAAGTTAACTGTACGTAACCTACTTGCAAAAAAACGACATTCACAGTACCCTTCAGGTCCAAGGTTCGTAAGTTTGGATTATTCGTGGTTTTCAGTTATTGGCAGTACCCTCTGTTTTAATTACCACAGATGACCAGGATTTTACTGTAATAACATTTAGGTACCTACAGAACAGTTTTCAAGGTGTTCGATCAAAAAATACAATGTTGAATGAAAAGTAATTACTAAATTTACAAGTAAAAACGAGAATGTATAAATCAATTGATTCTTTAATGAAGTATATTTCCTAAATGCATTGATTGGTTTATATTCAACCAAATTTTTACCTGATTGCAAATATTGCAATGGTAATGTTCTTTCCTTTTGAGTTTACAAAACGGTATATTACAAGATTGATTGGGTCCATATTTTTCATGACTGTGAGTACTCACCCATTTTTGAGACGGGGAAGCAGGTTCCCTCTTAACTTCTTCTTCTGGAAAAAAAAATAGAAATATTGTTAGATCATTGCAAATAATAGTAATAAGTTAGACGTAGCATTAGATTCATGATGTGGAGATTTTGTAGATCCTGAACATTTATGTAAAAAAAGTTTGCCTGACGATAATCGAGATACACGCTCGGGTAAAACTTTATTAAGGGCTTCAGTTTCAATAAGAATTTCACCCAATCATAATATTTTTCAGTGAAGTTCAATATTCTCTTTGGGCCATGCAGCGATGATTTTTTTCCTTCCACCTCACCTTTTTGATTTCTTCAAGATTTTATTTATTTATTCTCATGAATTTTACTAATATCATACATCTTGCAGATGCTGTTTTAATGAGTGAGATAGACATGATGAAAAAATTGAGATAGAAAAATTCAAACTAGTCAATCATTAGGTAAGTGCATGTAAAAGAAGACAAAAAGATTAAAAGATTGAGTAGGTATGAGGAAAGAATAAAGTAGGTCTGTAAGTTCCGTGGAAGAAATAAAAAAACTCACCAGTGCGAGGGTTTTGTGAAGAATAAGAACTGCTAATATTTGACAGGCCACACAGGGGATAAAAAGTACCAGATGCTTTGACCACTTGAAAGAAAAAAAAAGATCTCAATTAAGAAATTGAAGGATAAAGTTAAATATTTCTGATACTCGTATACACTCAGCCCCATTGAAATATATACTGCTCTACTTGGGAAAATAAGAATGAAGGCAATTTGTAAGATTCGGTGAAAAAGGCAGAAGAACAAACTAGACAGACAGAAAGATAAAACGCATACTCTCATACTGAAATAAATGGAATCTTATATTTGCTTACTCCCAAATAAAAAACCAAATGACTCAAAAGTGCAGCCTTTAAGGAAAAGATTCAATTGTGCAAACATTTCTATACCTATGGTACGAATAAACTTTATGAGTGTTCTGTACCTCATCATCAATACAAGATGCCAACTGAAGTCTTTTTTTGGTAAAGTGCCTGACAGATGCATGCTTGAGGCTACTGACGAGTGATAGGCCATTTGAAAAATCCATCATGCATTGCTTCGCTTTTCAGACAATTAAAGCAAATTAAAAAAATTCCTGTGTGTTTCAAGAGGCACCCCACAGTTCTTGCGTTGCCCACGTATGAACAGAATAAATAGAGAGAAGAACCAGATAATACACCTTCTTTGATGAAAATGTGCGAGCAAAAATAATTGCCAGATAGTTCAAATTCGGGCGAGACACCTACCTGTAGGCCTGGTGTTTTCATTTTCTATCGCTGAACTAGATATTACACTATGATTTTGAGAGTTTTCTTGAGAGGAGTTTTCTTTCTCATTTGTTTCTTCTACGCCTGGTTCTATCTTTGGTTCAATTTTAATATCACCTAGAGGGGAAAGAAAAAATTTAAGTTAAAGTTAAAGGGTTGAGAAACATTTTGCTACAGTGAATGAACTGATTGCAATTACCGCTTCCTAAAATGTTAAAAGCCTTAACTATGATGCTAATAAAAAAACAGCATAGAAAATGTTTTATCTTATGATTAACGAATACTTATACTTCCAAATTATAAGTAAAGTCCTAGTCTTCTGCCCGAGGGATCGTATCTTGTTTGCATTGTTTCAGTATACTTCTGTGAGCATTTTAATTTTTCATGGGAGAATCTTCTCACAAATTTTGCAACATACAGCAGGATTGTAGGTAAAATAGTTTCGAGTCTCATCAGAAGTGCCTCTACACAGAGCTAAACATTTAGTGGCGCAGACATTCCCTCATTACTTGTCTGAGTTGTCTGACATATTCTCTTAGTCATTTTTCCTAGCACCCAAACTTGTTTTCATTGGAAATTAACTTGAAAATACACTCTAAATTACACTCTAAATTACAACTTACATTCAGCTTTGGAGGGAGATTCACTAAGATTAGAGGACGACGTTCCTAAGTGTTGAAGACGATGGTGGGCCATATTCGAATACTGAACAAAAGAATATCCACAGCCAGGTTGAACACAATGAAAATGTCGGTTCATTTTGTTGCTGAGGAAAAAATTGAGAAATAATTGTTAGTTACTTCAATCATGAAAATGGATTAAAATGTATTAAATATATGCACAAGAAGTGACCGAACAATAGGATCAAGAAATAATTTTGTCCTCGTAATGAAAAAATAAAGAGTAAATTTATAATGATGCTCGGAGATGTGGTTCAAACTGACAGACTAAAAAAAATTAATTCCAACTCAGAAGTCAATACGTAAAAAGTATCAATATTTTGGATTTTTTTACCCTCCCTCTTTCGTGTACCCGCTACTGTTGTGACTTAGGTACAAAATGCCCCCTTAAAAATTTTGTTTGATAAATTCCACCCTCTCACTTTTTAAGCAAAAAACCCATTTCACATTTTATCCCGATCTGTGAGGGAATACAAAGAAATACTCACTTTTTACAGCTTTCCATTCGGCAGTCAATGCATCTATCGAAGAATAAAAATCCATCCATGATGTCGATATTTTCATGGAAATCTTTTGCGTGAGAGACCAAAGTTTCGTCGGAATTCGTCGCAAAAAAGCACCTCGGCCGTCCGCAGTGGAAATGCTGACTTCCACGGAACATGCACAATGGATCCGGACACGTTTCAGAGAATTCCTGGAATCCATAAACATCCTGAAAAACAAAATTCCATCTGTTAAAAAAATCATTCGGATAATAAAAGTTAATGATTCTTGAGTTTCGACTTTGATTCTGATGAGGAAAGATCTGAATTTTTTCAGTGAGATTGAAATATTGAAACAATTGGCATGGACTTTTGAGGCTTTATAGTTGTTTACATGGACAGGAAAGTTGAAGTGGTGAATTCTGAGCTCCTACATATTACACTCTAACACTTGAAAATAGAAGAGGGAAAACCAAAAGCCAATTTAACTTACCGCCAGCTGGGAAGTATTATTTGTTCCACTTGAAGGCGAAGGAGAAGGACTTGGAGCAGTATCATTGGACTGACCGGGATTGGGCTTCGGTAATTTGAAACTAGTGAATATTGCCTGTGGAGAATCAGATTGAGCTCCTCCAGCCTGTAAAAAAACAAATGGTTTTTGGTACAGGAAAAAGAAAAGATGGTTTTTGTAAAAAAAAAAAAAAAAATTCTAAGTCCTTTGGATTAACAGCCAAAATTTATAAGGCCAGATTAGCGTAGGTATATGACATTATAAATGAAACCCTCGGATAATGTTATCACCACCTAATATCAGCGATTGTTACCTATCTGATGTTTTTATCTGTTGCTTCAAAATTCAAGAAAAGAAAATTCAAGAAAATGTGTGCTACAAAAGTGGGAAGGCTGTTTAGCCTGTGACACATAATAGTGACAGTATGATCCTCATGTCAAATTGTGCCGCTACGTAATTAAATATTGACCAAATAAATATGTGCTTGGGCTTTTTTTTGGGACGCATTGGTGGGTGTGAAAAGTTATCAGACTCTTGCTCTACTGTTTAAACCACTAAATAAGAACAATTATGAATGGCCGGAAAGTTACTTCTCCCTCTCACATATGAAGGTCTGGCTATGGCCCCTAAAATGTTCTCAGGATATCTCGACTTGAATACTTTTTGAAGAAAAAATCTGAAAAGCCCAAAACCTATACTTACGTAATCGTTCCAAATCTGAAACAAAAAGAAAATAAAAATTGTTTAAAATCAATCATACTAAATTTCCCTTTTTTAAAAATAAATTATTAAGAAAGTAAAATAAAGTAAAAGAGACATCCTTACATCTTGCAAATGGGTACATAAAAGAAGTGATTTCTAATCCACTGCTGGTTTCAAAGAGTTTGCAAAATCCAACATTAGCTATTATAAAACTAGATAATAATTTTCCCAGAAATGCAAGTAATCACTAAAGCACTTAAAATGATGGAATAAGGGAAAACTAAAGCCAAAAAATATGAGCAGTGTGAAGTACAGTATGAAGGAGTAAGATTTTGATTCCAGATTTTTTCCCAATTTGAACACATTTTTCCACAAGTTAAACAATTTTTTCAGTCAGGGAATCACTGACGCAGCCAAATGTAGGAAAAATGAAAGTCTAAAATCTTGAATAAAGGAGAGCTAAAAAAATTAAAAACTTACCTCAATAATTCTATTCTTTGGAGGTCTGCCTCTTTTTCGCCGGAAAAGTGCATCAAGAGAGTTAATGTTATAACCAGCTAATTCGTGATTTCGAAAATGTTCTATGCTGTCAGCAGGCAAAACAGCTTCATTGCAACCATCCTGGCGGAAAAAGATGAGTTTATATGAAAAGAACTTTGTAATTGTAGGGTAGATTCAAGATTAATACATCTTTACCTCAAAATTATTGGCCACAAAGTCCTCTCCATGAGAAGGAAATGAATGTAAATCTTCCATGATTTTTATAAATTAACTCATCACATCCAAACAAAAGATAAAAATCCTTCTCCAAGGTGTTTCTTCTGATAACATTTTTTGATGGTAAGAAAGTATAATTAAGAAGAATACAGATGACAAGGTACTTAATTTTGTAGAGGTATGAGAATTGACTATATACTGGAAAAAACTGAAGCTATAAGAGAGGGCTTTTATGAAGTAAGGTGCTTACCCAGGTGCAGTGAAAATGTTTTTCCTTCATGCAGTTGGAGTCATGACAATCCTCTTGATCGAAACTTTCATTAAACCTTTCTTGAGTATCATGGACTCTGGCGTGATTTTCAGCACCTTCTTTGTTTCTGAAACACGTAATCAAGGAAAAATTAGTTTTAGAAAAAAACTTTGCGAAATTAATTTATCTATCACACATAATATGCAGACAAGATTTTACCTCTACTTCACAATAGGTACTGAATACGTATTTTGTTTTAACTATGTGATAAAGTAACATCTTTGAGACTTGAAACAATTTACATACGTACCTATTTGTACTGACTTTGCCTAATTTTTACGATGCACTACCAGTGGTTGGTTCTATATTGCTGCATTGAGCAGGAGAGGTAATGTAAAAAAAAAACTTCTGCCTAAATCTTATTTTTGTTTTAAGAAGCAAGAAGTTAAGTTAAACAATGGCACCTACCTAAATGGCATTTCACATGATGGATCAGTGCAGTGAAAATGATCAAATTCATGATACAAGCATTTGCTGCCGGCATCACACGTTTGAAAACTGTCGAAATGCCTCAAATACCGAGGCCACAGTTCTTGTTGGTCTTCATTACTAAGATCTAAGGCTGCTCCATTGTCTCTGAAGAATCCTAAAAAAAGTCAAGCAGGAAATTAAATTGCAAGCGGACGGATTCACGAGGGGGGTGAATTATAGTAACACTTATTGTCGCCCTTCCAACGTTGGGGCATAAACCTATTTTAAAGGGAGCCCCACAGAGCATGGTGTTGTATGCAAAATAAGGATCATCCTAAAATACATATAAGCTTTTATGCCAGAGGGACGAAGATATGCATACACCTAGGTAGGAACAAAAATGAATCTGTAAAAAAAGTAATTGTCAAACTTGAAGACTACCCAAAAATTTAGATCTTGTATTTGAATTTTTTGTTATTCGCTTTCAAATCTCTGATCCATGATCAATGTCAGCTCACAATTTTTCACCTCTGTTCATTTGGTTTGTTTTGTGTCCACCTTTGTTTCTACCAGTCACCATTAATAAATTTACATCTGACACAAAATTCTTCCTATTATAGAGACTGTGAAAAAAAAAAAAAAAACCATGAGCTGTATCTATTTATAGGATGGGCATTTAACATCAATTCTGGTTTTTATATCATATTCATGTTCTTAAAATCCTTCTTTAATCTCTAAGCTGTAGCTAATGGATAAATAAGGCAGGAAAACAAATTAGAAAAATTCACTAACCTGAACTGTACTTTTGCTGATGAGCGGAGGTTGCAGGAGATACGCTCTGTTTTAGACACATTGTTAAAGACGGTGGGGACATTCTACCACCGTCACTTGAGCTATTACTTAAACTGCAGTCAGCAGTAGGACCACCTAATGCACCTAAAGAATGTCCTGCGTGGAAAAATTGTAATGCACTACTCGGTGATAAATCGGAACTTTGGCTAATCTGAAAAACAAAATCATGATATTTCGATTAGTTTATTAACTTACATTTAATTTACTTTACTTTTACGATACGAACAGCAAGAAGTTTTTCTCTTAAACTTATTAAGACTCCAGATCAAAAGGAAGTTTTGAAGTTTATTAATAGGATTAAAATAAAAAATTAACAAATTTACGAATAAAAGAAAATGTTATTCAAGTGGTACCTACACCTACCTCTCTATTCATGACAACACCTGATATAACAAAAGTTTCTTTAAATAGAGGTGATCGTCCAGTCCCTTGAACTTCCTATGTTCCGTTGAGTACTGCTTGTTACAAAAAAAAATTCTCTAACAGAAAAATCATTCAGTACGTTGCAGTTTTGTTATGTAGAGAGAGTACTATAATTCCAGAGTATGCTTTATGTTCTTACAAAATTTTGACCATTAGAGTTATTTTTCTGGAGATATTATGAGTAGCAATGCACAACATTGTAGATTTATTTGGTGGATACTAATTATACATCTAATCATCTTGCATTTAAATTTTTTTTCTGAAAAGAAGAACATAGAGAGAAATTTGTTTTTTACTTACTTGTTCATTATTTGCTATATTAATTACAGCTTGCTGCGCTAATTTAAATTTGCGATATGCTATCTCACTATCCTTGCGCTCATGCTTGCGTTTGTGACTTAGTAGCTGACCGCTTGAGTGTAAGACATAGGAGCAGCCATCTCTTACGCAGTGAATGTGATTGATAACTTGTGAGAATTTACAGTTCGAAAAACCACAAGGATCCGGTTTGAGGAATTTCTTGAATCCATCTTTAGCTAGTTGTTCATCTTTGATGTGATATGTTTTGTGTTTTTCTGGAAAGAATAAACAGTAATCTAAGTTATAAACTTTGTGTGAATAAAATTGCAGGATTGAAGGAATTTAACTAAAACAGAATGAAGAATGTGGAAAAGAACTTTTAAGAAATTCCTGAAAAGAGTACGAAAATTCCTCCTTCGTGAATTTTGATAGAATTGGTGTTATTTACATTAGTACAATTTTTCCACCAATTCAGATGAACAAAGTCCGTACCGTCAAAAAAATAAAATATATGTATATGAAGACTTGGCTAGAATGCACCTTAATTTGAAAAGTACGCACCCATATCAGCCTTGTTCTTAAAGGTGTACTGACAATGATCCCTTCGGCAGTGGAAGTGCGTTGTTTTCTGACCAAAAAATGCACAATATGATGTTCGGCATTCTTCTGTTGCTCGCAAACGCTGGAAGCCTTCCTGGATGATTGCTGAATCTTTCCGATGATAATTTGCATGCATTTGAACGTCAGAAGTGCTAATGTATACTTTATCACAATTTCCCTGAAACAGAATAAAATGAAGCAATAAAAAATTTGTCATGAAAAAGAAAATGAAAAATATAAAAGACACGGACAGTTCTAATTTTATCTACTGTGTGTGTAATAACTTAGATAACTTCAAACTTTACGAAATGTTATTTTGTTTTCTTTAATTTTTTCTAGCACCAAAAAAGCATATTAAATTCATAAAAAAAAGTAGCATTTGCGTTAAACCCGGCTTCACAACTGAGGTAGGGATTAAGAATACAAGAGAAAAAAAATATAAATAAATAAATAGATGAATCAAGGAATAAAATTCAAAAAAACCTTTTTTGCCAAATTAACGATAAAAACGAAAAATCTAATTTACTAATGTTTTTCTTTACCTGAATACAATGATAATGCGTTTGTTTGCGATTATGAGTGCATCCTGGATATCTGTTAGAGCAATCATCGCTTGGGGAGTATCTCATGAATCCGTGCTGCAGGGATTCGTCTCTTTTCTTATGCCATTTGAAATGCCTGATCATTTCTTCTTTTTTCACGAAAACACGAGAATTACAATCCAAACAGTGGAAGTGTTCCCTGGAACAAAATCGAAACATCAAATCACGAGTCCTTCATCAACGATACATCCAATAAAAGCAAATATAGTGGTGAGAAGCAAAGAAAAAAAATTCAATCGATGACTAAGCAAAAGGAATCTCAAATGAGGTGATTTCCGTCAAATTTAAATTAAAATGAAAATTAAATTAAATTATGAGATTTCATCATTTAAAAATTGGGGATATTTATTACAGAGAGTAAAGACGTGATTTAATTACTAAAAAATAAAAAAAGGCTCAAAATCGGATTCGTCTCGGGCGAGCAGGTGCGTATAACATTCGGCGTTGGAGTTGCGCTCAACTGGTGGCCTCCCCGCATATTTGAAAAGCCCGCGCGCGCGCTTTTTTATGGCGCGCAACTCACGTTAGTTCAAGATGAAGCCGCTAGAGAGGGATAGTTGCATGAATTTCTACAAGGATCGATTCTACAATGGACCACTAGACAAGGTACGAATTTCAGCATTCTGATACACGTTTCTTAACCAAAATTTCACGTAAAACACGATACGCACAACGAAAATTACCGAAATTAACTCCTTACGAAGATATTTTATGATTCTTGATGCGTAAATTCAAACCATCCGCTCATGAAAACTCAATGCTCAACGTGATTCACATCGCGCGCTAAACGTTATCATGACAGTCTCTGCGATATAAAAATCTGGCAACCTCAATCTTGACGCTTTGGCTCAGCTGTAGCAAATTGCTAATAGTTTGAACAACACATGGTGGGAAATGAACATTGCTCGATTGAGAGGCTTGCAGAAACCGTTGTAGTGCGCGATTTGACTCACGTAGAGCCTTGAGTTTCTTGTGAGCGGGCAGTTCAAATTCCTCATAACCAATGTTAAATAAAAACGTTAATATCTTTGTTAGGAGTTNTAAAAGCAAATATAGTGGTGAGGAGCAAAGAGAAAAAAAAAATTCAATCGATGACTAAGCAAAAGGTATCTCAAATGAGGTGATTTCCGTAAAATTAATATTAAAATTAAATTAAATTATGAGATCTCATTATTTAAAAATTGGGGATATTTATTACAGAGAGTAAAGACGTGATTTAATTACCAAAAAATATAAAAAAAGGCTCAAAATCGGATTTGTCTCGCACGAGCGGGTGCGAGTGACATTCGGCGTTGGGTAGTTGCGCTCAGCTTGTGGCTTCCCCGCATATTTGAAAAGCCCGCGCGCGCGCTTTCTTGTGGCGCGCAACTCACGTTAGTTCAAGATGAAGCCGCTAGAGAGGGATAGTTGCATGAATTTCTGCAAGGATCGATTCTACGATTGTTTAACATATCTGACATCGCTAGCTATGCAAACTCGCTTTTTGATGCTTTAATAATTGGATTTTAGTGGTTCCACAGAATATATTTAAGGACGAGTGAAATCATTTTTTTTTTGTTTTTTTGTTAGAAAACGCAATTTTTTTCAAAAACTGCACTGATCCCATTTGCCTTCCAAGCCCCTCAGTTATTCCTTGTTTTTACTTGTCCTTCACGGAAACGGATCAACAGCGGAAGTATCAGTACCTATTTAGTAACCGATTTTTAAGACTGTCGATTGGTTACATCGATATTGATTGTGAAATTTGAAAACACACGCATGCCTC